CTGATTTCTCAAGTGTAATGAGTTGATGGTCTTAGTCCGGCTAACCAATGACTTACATGGAGACCCAATTAATTTATTAGAGACCCATAGACTCACATAGACTCACATAGACTCACATAGACTCGCATAGACTCACATAGGCTCAGTTGTGATTCAACTGATCTCTCAAGTGTAATAAGTTGATGGGCTTAGTCCGGCTAACCAATGACTTACATAGAAACCCAATTAATTTCTTAGAGACCCATCGACTCACGTGGACTCGGTTATGATTCAACTGGTTTCTCAAGAGCTATGAGTTGATGGTCTGAGCTAGGTCAGTCACCAATGACTGCTCCAATAACAAAACAACGATATTGGTATATTTGTTTTTTTGCACTTAGATTTGGATAAGGTTCAGCGTTCAAATGTAAAATTATCGGTGTGTCACGTGACAATCTCGTATGCGAGCGTATGGGAGAGTGCGCTCCAAACTGCGTCGACTGCGTAGGGGATAAGCCGGCAACTTGAGGGAATTTGTCCATGGAATCCTCGTCACATATCTCTTCTGCAGCCATTCGTATGTATGTACTGTATGTTGAACTTCTTTCGCATTGTAAGTAGCCAACCCTGATTATTCGGCGGTGCGGGGGAACGACAATATACTAAACACAAAGAAGCAGTTCGAAAAAAAATTGTTCCTAAATCCAGATGATGATTTAAAAGTGCACAGGTACAGTGGCGTCCTAATATCGGACGGAAGAGCGTTCCAGACGGCAGTGGAAGCGCATCTGAAAGCGCCACGCGATGCCGGTGACCGCCGTCTGTGTCCGACAGCTAAAACCAAAAGCAGCCACGCCGCCGCGAGGACGACGGGAGATCACGCGACGATGGTGACACGATCAGCGAGGCATTGTGGGTGGTTCATTTGTGGCCAAGCGTTGTGTGTGTGCAATGATTGTGACCGATGACGCATGCCACCTTGCGAGATTAAAAAAAAACATATATATATAAATCTGTCGTTCCCTCGACGATGACAACCCTGGAGCATAAACGCCACAAATTTCGAGACGAAAAAAAGCAAAGTGAGCCCTTAAACATTTTTTTACAAAAAAAATATATTTAAAATGTTTTTAAATATATTTTTGTAGAATTTTTTTTTGGGGGGGGGGGAATAAATACATAAATTTCAGAGACAAACCCAGCCCGAGGCCACATCGAACCCCGCCGCGCCACTCTGGCCACCTCCCTGTTTCAGACCTTAATTAGCTGCGGCCCGTGCGCTGTCCGCAATCAGCACGATGCGTCTCTGCGGGCAGCCGGCTTACCGCCGATATTGTGAAGCCAGCATGCGGGTGGCGTGCGCCAAGGCGTTATTTCAGTGCTGGATAATTGTCCTAGAAGCAAAAGTAGCCACATATATAGTAGCTACGGGCCCAGCACTTTCAAGGGCCCCGTGCTAAATGATTTCAAGCTATCAATTCCGGTTCAGTGATTCTGCACTTGCTCTATTACTATAGTACTATACTGCCTTCAACTTTTATGAACGACCTGGGTGTTTAAGGTTATCGATTTGTCGTATTATCTGGCTGTATAAGCAAATGAAAAAATACAATTACCTTACTCTGGAAGTAAAAAATGTATGTTTTAATATTTACATGTTTATTTATTTATTTAGGGCCCATTAATAACACATGCTACAGGCCCCACACCTGCATAATCCGGCACTGGTTATTTCGTGTTCTCTTCCGCCTGGTTACGATTTGTGGAAAGTGTCGTTCTCTCTCTCTCGAAGGAGGAGGAGGTCATTTCTCCGTCCTCACACTTGCGCCGGCAATTGTCGAGAGTAATTGTTTTTAAGTCAATCTTTGACTCGTCAACCTGTTAAATCTCTTTGGAGGCTTCGTTTGTAGATTTATTTTTGTTATTGATACCTGGCACATCCTCAGGGTCCGGGATCGAACCCACGATTCCCTGCGTACCAGGCGAGGGAGATGACTTTTCTGGCCTCCTTGATGGTCGGATATGCAACGTTGTACCGCATAGCTGCGTAGAGGTTTATTCAAAACTCGGTGCGTTGCACCGGCAAAAATAAAAACAATGATGAATGACCCGTGCCTTTGCGGCAGTAATTTATCGAGATGCGACGGCCAGTGCATGGTGGCCTCTGATGAGTGAGCCGTATATTTTTTGGTATTATTATTATTCAGAGGCTCACAACCCTCCGTGGGAAATGGAGATGACGATGGTGGTGGCTGCGGATTTGGCAGACGCGATATAATGACGCAATAAATTTAACAACTACGAGAATGTATAATGTTGTGTATGTATAATCACATGCACGCAGTGTATATCCTCTCCAGGCGTGTGCGTGTAGATAATAAAAATGATGATCATTTTCAGCCCTTCGTAAGTACACTGATATGACGGCCTTCCCATGCACCATGTCGGTTCTTATTCTGCACAACGATCGGTGTAAGTTTGATCACGGGTGCGTCCGGGACTCGTTTGGATAGGGATGGCCAAAAAGTAACGATACACCAGGAACATAAGCCAAATTACATGAAATATTTCAGCTTTCTATATTTTGGTGTGGAACATACAAAGGAACCGCCTTCTGCAAGGTCCCTCTCCAACCGTCGGTGGGAGGCGTAAGGTAAGTTCAAAGTAAACATTCTGCAGGTAAAACCCAAGCTTGCTCTTGGTTGAGTGTTGACCCAGCTGTAACAGCCTTGCGCCTTTGTATATTTTTCGATAATATAGATCATTCCATTTGTCGAAATTTCCGACTTAAGATTGCGGTTGAGTGTTGATCTTCTGACAGAAGCCTTGGGCCATTGTGTATTTTATAAAACAGGATGTCATTATTTTTCAAAAGATAAATCATCCAAAGTAACGCAAGTTTGTTTTAGGTATTGACCCTGCAACAACAGCCTTCTTTGTGCCATCTTGTACCTTCCGATTATTATTTTACAATGTAATGACTAAGTATGTATTATTTTCTTGATATTATAAACATTGCATTTGAATATTTCCATTACTCTTTCCTTTAAATAGTACAACAAAACCGTTGAAAACATCAATGCAATCTGTTAATGTAAATCGATCTGTTAATGTTCTATTAATGTTAATTAATGTTCTATTAATGTTCTGTTAATGTAAACTGATGTTTTATTCAAAGATATTGAGTGGTCGATGTTTTATTTCTGTCCCATCCCTACCCAGGATTTGTCCAGATGTCACGCACCACTGATGTTAACCATGCCTGGCAATCCAGACTCGTGAAAACGCACGTGAATAGTAGCTAGCAAGAGATACAGTAGTTTCAAAAGATCGTTGTCTGATTGTTCACTGGAGACTTCGTTTCTCCACGAGTATTTTCCGAACCACTGGTAGACTGGAATTGGCGGCACGCGACTAGTAGCAGCAACCATCTCGCGAGAAGCATTCCTGATGCGGTATTCCGAATTCGTAAATAATTTCTGGGGTCACCAACCCGGATTAAATCTGCCTGAAACTAAAGCCCCTGCTTATTTCTGCTTTGTCTTCCCAAACCCAACGCAACTGTTATTAGCCGGGGGAATACAAGCTGTGGGTGGCTGACCTTTGAGCAATCGACAGGGGGTCCAGAGCATAGCCTTCAGGCCACAGCAGGGATCAGTGCCAGATTTCAGGGTTGCTGCAGGATTTGAGACATGATTTAGAGATACAATGCAATAACCGCGTGTGGTGGTGCATTCTTGAAATGCAGCGGCTTGGTTTATTTATTTAACCATGGGTATTATGATGTCAAGGTGATGTACCGTATTTCAGATGAGTCCTCGCTATTTAGGGGTTGTAAACAGTCAAAACTTCCTGCAGAGTTGCCTTACATTTTTTTCGGTTCAGGGTCAATATTTTATTGAGTAACGAGGCCAGATGTTAACCTGGTATTAAGGAGGTCGTGGGTTCGATCCCGACATTGACGCTTGCATATTTGGAGTGTGCGTGTCTCTCGCCCCGTAGTCACGTGGATTTTTCTCCGGGTCCTCCGGTTTTACCCTCCACATTTAGAATCATTGCGTTTAGAGTATTTGGCTGCTATAACATTTCCACATGATAAGCCACTTCGCTGAGCTATCATTTGTTGCCAGGTCGCTTCTGAAAAAAAAACTTCATAGCTCAGTGGGCCTGTACTGGTAAGATAAAAGTTTAGTTTAGATTCGTTTTTAAAAGTGAATGTGACGGCCTCTCGCGGTTGCAGGGTTAACTTAAGTCCGTGGCATACAACATACTGCAGATGAATTGATGGGTTCATATCACTACCCTGCGCTATGAACCCAGCAACCTGAGTTCGATTCCGGGACACGGCTAACACCAGTGCCGCATCGTGTCTAAACTTTTTTAAGGGCCACGATCCACCCCGTCCAGCAATCCGCAGTTACTAGCGTCGTGAAGTATGGTCAAACAACCTCCAATAAAATAACGGTGGTGGGGAGGCCCTCATCTAGCAGTGGATTGACATATCCATTGTTACGTGTAATGACACCCACGCTGTAGTACATGTTGTTTATGTCATTTATTGTGAAAATTCCGTCACAGTTCCTATGATCACTGTTTCATTGCTTTCATGGCTTTATTTGAGTGATTTCGAAAAGTTTATTGGTTTGGCCATGTTTGTTTGTTGTAGTACGGAGTAAGACTGATGGCCTTAATCTAAGTTGTCTTGTGGTTGCTGTTGTTGTTTGACTTGCATCCCACTGGGATTTTTGCACACAGCGTTGGTGTACGGTGCTTTTTCTGCAACATTTTGCTGTCTTTTGTTGGATTTTCTGTTTGCACTTAGTCACATATTCACTTTAAGATGTTTTCTTGTTCATGTTTTTTGTTTGTTGCGGTTGCACCCGATTCAAGAGCCGAATGGCTCACAGGGCTATCTATACCTAATAAATTAACTTGAATTGATTTGATCAGCCACCGAGCCAACACGTGCCGTGTCAACACGTGGCAAAGGTTGTCGCGGTCCCTTTAAACCGAACGCGGAAGTGGCGCGCGTCTTGGCGCCACTTTCAAAGCCGAACGCGGGAACTTGACGCCCGGCTCTGTTACAAAGTTTAACGAAACGCAACTGAAGACAGACATCATCGTAATGTTCGCCAATTGTTGGCGTCCTCACGAAACATGCCGTTCGCAAAGGGCATCGTAGCTAGCTTTGGCTTCGTCCGTCAACTTTCAATCGGAGGCCTAGCACGACTCCGCGGAGTTTGTTGAAGCCTCGGCGTTGCTTGGATCGCCTACCCCGGGAAAGGATTGTTCGGGCCCCCGGGTAAGTGAAATGCTGCTTTGACAACGAATCGAATAAATCGTGATTCACCCTCATTCTCCCCGTGGTGTGTTGCGTTCTCAGGCTTCGAGGGATCACAACTGTATCCAGGGATAGTCTCGTCACGCTCTTGTTCGATCTATTGCGACTTGTGACAATTCGGAGTCGTACAGCGTTCGATAAGGCGACCTCCGTGGAGATGGAGCGATGAAATCGGCGCTTATTGTTCAGCTCCTCGGTGGATTGTCACATCGCAAAACTGAGAACGTTGCATCCAGCAGCGGATATGTCTTGGCCGGCAATGATAGCGTATCGATATAGACATAATCTCAAGGTGATGTAGAGCAACTGCGTGCCTTGTACATCATGCACACGGTGTGATATACTGCACTGCACAGTTTAACACGGAGGCTTTCGCGACCAATATCCATATTAACAACTATTTGGGCGAGATCGCGTAAATATAAAAATGTGTCGTTAAAGCCACCAACACACCTGGTGTGCTGTACTAGTAACGAATTGGCATGCTCTGTTTAAGTGGCAAACTTTACTAATAGGCTGTGTTGGGTGGTGGCGGGTTTAACGACACATTTACGTGATCTAACAACCCCCCCCCCCCCCAAAAAAAAAAACTATTATGGATACTGCACATCGTTTTATTCTAGAGAAGAGACTCTCGAAGGCAGATGGGGAAGGTCTTGGAGCCTGAACTTATCGACCCCGAAAGGATGATTGTCCGAATCAAATCTCATGACCAGGATTTGAACTCGCAACCTTCCAATTGTGAGCCCGCTCTCTTAAAGACCGAGCCAGCTCGTACTATATCTCCTGCTGCGTTTGTGTTGTTGTTGTTGCTGGTATAAGGCGGTTTTAATGACACACGAGTTGATCTAATCTTGATTTGAAGCTTTCGTGACTGCAGGAATCCATAGTGACTTTACCGAAAAAACAAAGAGTACGAGTTGAATTTTGATTTAAAGCTTTCACAAGCAATCATCATCAGGTACACCTGAGGTACACCTGATGATGATTGCTTGTGTTGCAGTCGAAACGTCGTGAGAATTTTTATTGTTTTATATTATTTTCTGATTTTCCTTCTACGTGACTTTACCGAAAAAAACAAAGAGTAAGAGTTGATCTTTTCAGATTTCTGCAAGCTTCATGAGCGGGCACATTGTTGGTGACGGACTCTTAATGCTTTAGCGATTCGTGTAATGTAACATCAATGGGTGACCCCATAGTGGGTAAGGGCCATCCGCTGTGACCCCAAACTGAGCGAAGTTCTGACCCCGGGGAGGGGGCCTTGGGTAGCGTTGGCTGCTGGACGGTTCATATAACCAGACAGGGTTTGCTACAGGCTGGAGAAAACCTCTTTTGTCCGTGCTGTGCGAAAACCTCCAGATTTATTGCGATCAAATGTCTCTTGCCGAGCCCTTGATAAGCAGAGGCAACCCTAAGCGGCGTTTTGGCTTCCAGGTCACTCGCAATGACCGGCGTGGTTCGGAGAGGTGGAAACCAAGTTGCAAGGTTTTTTCTTTTGTGCCCACTTATACGCGACTGGTAAATATCGCTTGAGAGAAGGCCCCTTTGCGCTTGGTGACATTGAAGGGTAGGAAACCTCCTGGTTACACCAGCTCACAGGGGATTATTGTGTCCGTCCGTCGTGCAGGGAGGGGCTGGGTGGGGAGGGGCTGGGTGGGGAGGGGCTGGGTGGGGTGGGGCTGGGTGGGGAGGGGCTGGTCACCTCGTGGTGCCCTTATAAAACTCAACGTTTAACCTACTCACGCCGGCTTGTGCCTGCCCTCACAGTCGGGCATATTCGCGGGATACACCACGCCGCCGTTGACCCTGGCCATTGACCGAGCAACCCAACGTTCCTACCAGCTCCCTCCGCAGGAATGTGTTTTTGCGGTGATCCAGCCGCTGCTTTGGAGGTTTGTGGGGTTCAGAGATCCGGGTAGTTTGTATCTTATGCAACTCGCAAATATTCTGGACTGCGAAATGGCAGCTTGCGCGAACCCTTAAGGGCGTTTTTATGTTGTCTTGTGTGGTGGATTAGATGCATCACCGCATAGCAACCGCTATGGATAGCCAAACAATCCCCGATACAAGAATCCTCCTGTAAGAAAGGGACACTTTTGTGACTTGACAAGAAACCTCCCAGGGGTTATTTGGTCATACTTTAGCGCAGCTTGTCACCGTGGGTTGGCGAAGGTTCGGAATTAAATACACGAGAGCGTGGAAGTCCAGTATATTTTTTCCTGCACTGCCCAGCAATGTAGTGGTTGTAGTTTAACACGGCTTTCGCGACCAATATTCATAATAAAGGTTTTTGGGTTAGATCGCGTAAGTATAAATGTGTCGAAACCCTCCACCACCCGACAGGGCGAGTAAGGTTTGTCACGTAAACAACGCGCCAATTAGTTTACTACTTTAGCCCGCCGGTGTGTTGGAGAGTAAATCCACAACATTCACAATTTGAGTAGTACGACGTTTCGCTGGTAATTATATCCACCGTCATCGGGCGATTTGCCAGGCTAGTGAAGCCATCCACCTGCTTCCGGTCTTAAATAGAGCAGCAGGGTGACGTTACGAGGAGTGGTTGTAGCCTTTCTGAGGTTTGATCAACGCAGGCGTGTTACAGAGGATCTGGTCATGTGTTTCTCTTGAACATGTAGGATAACCCTATATTCTGTTTGTCTCGGCTTATTTTGCTTAGTTGGTACGATCGTATAATTTTTATGCGCTGAATTACATTTGTGTTCTACAGTCGGTTACCTGCGTTGCACCCCAGGTCTACTTTACAGAAGAGATTTATCTCAATGGGGCTTCCCGCCTGGACGTGAATTAAGTCTGAATAATGTAACATTCAGGGGGTGAGGCGGGGCCGCATTGATATGAGCCTGGAACACCTCTTTCGATTCTTGAACCATTACGTAGCGAGTGATATTTGAATCTGTAATGGAAGGCACCCCTTTGCCAACCTACACTGGCCGGCGTGGTGAAGCACGGTCAAACACACGCCCACACAACCCGGACAGAGTAGGGAGGCTCTCATTCAGCTGTGGATTAAACATATGGGCTGCACTCTTTGGTTCTTTCAGTAAAGTCACGTATAAAGAGAAAATAATAAATGAAATAATGGCATGCGACGTTTCGATTGCAACACAAGCAATCATCAGGTATAAATGAAATAGAAAACAAACTAGTAAACTTAGAAATATAATGCAATACAACACAGAGAGTCGGCTAACACAACAGTCAACACCCTACCTGGTTGATTACGTTCTTCCAGAGAATGCTAAATTTGAGAGAGAGATAAAACACAGAACCGGAGACATATAGACAGAGAGAGAGAGAGCTAACACAGATATACATAGAGAGAGATAGACACATATATATAGGCACACAGAGAAACCACTCCTCTGTGTCGAGGCCTTATGGGCTGCACACACATCCACGTGCGTTAAAAAAATACCCTTGGGGCTGTGAACAGCTTGACATCTTAGCTGACATGCTTTAATTGTGTAACGAATGGGCCACGTTAGTGTAATACTGACATTAGCGAACATTACACGGACACGGTATATGTGACATGGTAATGGGAATGCCTCTACTGACAGATGTTGTGAATCCAATAATGCATTGCGGTGGTTATGAGTCCTATGATCAATGCGAACGTTACAGAGAATGGTTCACCTTTATGATGTGTATATATTTTCAGAATTTATTGCTGGAGTCATTACAATCTCCTGCATTATTAATTTGTTCTTTAAAGTACGTGTCTTTCAGGATTGTTGCAGTTTAAAATTTCCTTGAAAATGTATTGTTTCCCAATGGGTTATTTTCCTTTGTAAATGAATTAAATGATTTAATTTTATTTAATTATGAGCCAACATCTTCCTACATAATTGTCTTTTTTTATTTCCTGATTCTTTGACGTCGTTTGGAAAAAGCCAATATGGATTTTTATATATTTTTTCCCCCCCCATCATCTACTTAACTTGCACGTTGTGTCTGTCGGTACCAACCTATTTGTATGTCATTGAAAGATCCCAGTTGTTTCGCTATTGTTGTAAGACACGCGTGCGTGCTCTATCGGAGAGTTTTCTGACGATGCTAATGGCGATGTCGACTTTTCGCGATAAACTACGAAGCCAACCAATCCTGGATGTCATATTGTGCGTCGCTTTGTGTCTATGTGCAGGAACTCCGCTCGAGGAATCTATCGGGATGCTCTAAAATTAAAAAGGTCTTGTCGCCCCAAGGGAGATGAGAAAAAAATATAAGTCCCACGATGGATACCGATCCTTCTGAAGAGCTCTGCCTGATTGATAAACGGATAACAAGGTGAGTGCGGGAATGGTGCCTGCTGTGGCTTCGACTAAAAAAATACAATCATCTTATCTTAGAATTCAAAAGTACACAATGTGCACTATCTCAGTTCATTACGTTTCCATTGTGGGACAACATTTAAGGGGCGATAATGCCACAGAAAACGTTATTAAAGTCATAACTTTAATTTAATGGGGTTTCCGCCACGTTATAGTTTTATGATACTTGGAAGAAAAAAATGGATGAATAGCTCAGATTAAAATCTGTCGTACAAAATAATACGTGATAGCGGGAGTAAAATAAAAAGATTATATAAAATGTCATTATGACCTGTGCTGACACTCGCTTTATGAGGTTTTCTGTACATGGTAATATTTTTATGGATGGCCACGGTGATTTATGGAAGCCTTGTCATACTCAATTATAGATGTCGCCTTATCAGAAAACGCAGTCCTCGGAGATAATAATGATTAATGGAGCCCTAACACAGTGTGTGCTACTGCCCGGAGTGAATATTTCAGTTTTATGAAGTCCCCCACCACCACCATCTTCATGCATCAACTTTTTCACTCCCCTTTTGAAATTGCACATCCCTGTCTCCTCCCTCCCTCCTCCGAAAAAATATTCTAAACAGTATGCCAATTCTCCCCCGCCCCACGCCCCACCATCGCCTCCACAGATTTGACATAGCCCAATTAACTTTAATTATCCTTGATGGTGCATTCATTTAGCAAATCCCCTGACGTGAAGGCGTACCGCTGGTATCGCGAGGCAACGTTGTTTGATCAATCTCTGAATGAGCGTTGGAGACAAGGCCGAACGAAAGTCACGGATGCAATTAATGCCATTGAGGGTTTTGTTTTTGAGAAAATAGCTAATTTCGCTGTTTCGTAAACATTCAATGGTAGGTTGTTAACATGCACGCGCTAAATACACTTTTGAAAGATTTGCATAAACGCCCAGTCCGTTTCAAACTGTAATACTTGAGCGGCTCCGTGTATAAAAATGCGGGAATTACTTTTCAAAATGTATAGGTTGACGATAGCCCGTGATGGATGATTCCGCAGATTTCCACCGGTTCCACACATTGGATGTTCAGTGGAATCTACGGCAGGCACACGGCGAGACATGCACAGAGGAAACACTCCCAGAAGACGGGCTATGAATTTCAAACAAGCACAGACAATAAAAACGTAGCAATTTGGTAATGCGATGCCAGTGAATGTCTGCTAATTAACAATATTAACTATTCGGGGTCCTTATTTTATCCTTTTCACTATTACATTAATTAGTGTTTGGTATGTGGCAATTATGTAAAACATTCTCTGAATCAAGAGATTTATAAACAATGCGGACGTTGCTAACAGGATGTTTTTTACTCTTAAATGCAACTTTGGGAAAGCACAGGAATAAATAATGAGTGCATTCATTTCCCCATCCTCACTTGGTGTGGAAGTTCTTGTACCGAAGTGGGGAGCAGCTAGCAATGCAACGAAGTAGCCTTCCCCGCAACAACTAAATACATTTTCACGATTCCGGATTAAGATTGTATTACAGATTCGATCGCTATTTTCCGTTGTGTGTATCACCCCGGTCGCACTGTATTATTGTGTTACCTTCCTAGTTCATAACAATTCTTATCAAACATATAATTTTTGTGTTCGCCCACGTAATGATCTGGCCAAATGTGTCTCATTAAAGACCCCCCCGCGTCATCTGACGCAACCAAACGCATTGTTACGTGTGCAAGCATTCGACGCGGCAATTTCTTTCGTTTCGGCAAAATGGCGAGTTGAAGGACGAATTCTCTCAACCAGAGCTCGTAATTGGATGTGACGTTTCGTTTTAAACCACGTCAAAACATAATCGGGACAAGATCCCCAGGTCGTAGTAAAAATCCAGGAAATCAAGTTGTATAGTACATTTAAGCGCAAGCGTAACAGCATATAATTTCCATTTAATTTTGCCAAATCATAAATAATTCATTCTCACGGATAGTGCACGTGAGAGTCGAGTTTATTTGACGAATCAATACATCATTAGATGCTTAGTTTTGGCACACCCAGTGGAAAAACAGACAACGCTCTGTCACGCTTAATTGTTATTTTTTCCCAATTTTGTCCAAATTGCACTATCAACGCAATGTCATGAAGAAGAAGTATCCATTTAGATCTCTCGCAGAGCAGCCCACGGAAGCCGATAATCACAGAACTACTCCTGAGATCCCTTCAAGTGACCTCTGGGCAACGAATTTGAGGGCTGCACATTCCCAACGTCTCTGCCATGTGAGAGTAATTCTAGATTTGAAGCTTTCGTGACTGCAAAGATTCATATTCTTAGGTTTTTCTGGTAAAGTCACGTAGGTAAAAAATTAAAATTAATAAAAGTAAAATAAAATAAAATCACGACGTTTCGGAGGCAACACAAGCTTCCGTCTTCAGGTAAAAAAAAAAAAACGTCACAGCAAGCGTGCTGTGACGGTTCCACCTGAAGACGGAAGCTTGTGTTGCCTCCGAAACGTCATGATTTTAATTTTATTTTAATTTTACTTTTATTAATTTTCATTTTTTACCTACGTGACTTTACCGAAAAAACCTAAGAATATGTGAGAGTAATGTTTGTCGCATGATCGTACAACATTTTTAATTGTCAGGGCTGGAAATTGGCTAAATTAAGTGTGCAAACAAATCTTATTTGATTTGTTTTTGTGTGTATTTGCATCAATTGGTGACTGGGCTGACATCATCATCAACTCACTTAAATCTAGATTGAAAAAACCATTTCTTTAGAACTGATTTTCGTGTTTAGTTTATTGTCCTTCCCCCCCCTCCGATTAGCACGGTTGTCTACGTACGGCGTGAAATAAGTTCATCATACATACACCTGAGAACCCGATTATAGGAACAAATGGCTGCCTGGAATCAAACCGATGATCTCGGACGTGCCAGTACAGCGCACCTCCGATTAGCCTATGCACGGTGCGAAAGAAGTTCTACATACATACATACAGCGCCGAGACCTCTGAGCCACACCAGACTCGCTCTCAAACAACGTGACCCTCCCTCCTTCCCCTTCGCAGCCTTCGCGACGTGCCGTTGCACTCTCGGCTGCGCTCTCTCAACCTTCACTGCAACCAGATCGCACGGCTGGAGGGCCTGGCGCGGCTCCCTCAGCTTGCGCACCTGGACCTGTCATCGAATCGCCTCGAGAGAATCGAGGGGCTGGCCTCACTGCCGTGCCTACGAACCCTGAACCTTTCCTGCAATCACCTTACTTCTGTCCAGGGTACGGTCGCTTTTGCGTCGTTGGTGATCGCATTTGAAAGAAAAAAAAGGATGAATGAAAGCAATTATCGGATTGACAGCCTTTACTGAACAATACAGAAACGTTGATTGCTGCACCGTATTTTCTATGTTCCTATGGCTAGGCTTCCTGCCTTCAGCCAAGCAGCACTAAGTTTGATTGTTATAGCAGCCAAATACTCTAAACCCGTGTTTCTAAATATGGAGGGAAAAACCAGAGGACCCGTAAAAAATTTCACGTGACTCCACAAGCGCTACACGGTGTGCTACCGAGTAGGTTTTCCCCGAATGTGCTCGACCGTCATCCCGTGCATTTGTGTGTCGTGCGCGAAATGTCGGACATCGTGCCGAGTTAGCACAGCGGTTGCGGCTTGCAAACGAAGTCGGAGAGATAGCCCTGAGGTTTTGTGAGTTGCATTTTATCTGCGCTGCTGCAGTTAAGTTTTCACAGTTTTACTTCTGCTGCTCATCTCGTCCGAGATATGCGGTTTTCTCACGGGTTACTTTGTTTCTTTCAGACCTCTTGGCGTGTAATTTATCGATGCAGCAGGTTGCATGCGACTTCAAAGTTGAAGGTGGCGCTCGCCTTTGAAATATACTTCAGAATTACAACGGCGGTGCTTTGAGAGTGCGAATCCGTTTTTTATGCTACGCTAAATTATTCAACGGTTTGGAGCGAAGAGCCAGGATTAATTGGTGCGGCGACACCTGTGCCGTGGCGAAAATTGTGCTTTATGCCCCCCCCATCCTCCATCCGTCCCCGCGCTGACGACTAGCAACGAGCGATAACGGTGAACGACCGCGGTGGAGCTGGCAGGCTGCGCTCCGCTCGCGGAAGACGTTAGCGGAGTAGGCGTATCTCGTAAACGCGTGGGCATGCCAGTAACGTATCGCCGTCTGGCACCGCTGCGGATGTTTTGAGGCTATCGACGGCTGTAAATGAAATAGAATTTTTTTTTTTTGGCAAAGGAAGCACTTTTATAGTTTGCTTCACGAGATTTTGTCATTTTAAAGTTGTGCCCAGGTTAAAGTGTTTGTGGCTCTGATTTCTTCTTATCCGTTTATTTGTTGTTTACCAATATGCTAAAAGACAGATCCTCTCTGAGCTTTATAGAGCAGGTAAGTGCTGTTGGCGAGCACCTATTAAGGCTGGCATGGCGAACAAATAGAGTAGCTGTGGCCCACAGCACCAATGTTTAATTCACACGTGGCATCCAATACCCTTTTAAGGCTGAGATAATGAGGATGGCCCCCAGAATAGTTTCGATACCTGAGTCTACTGATGTTATCTGTGACCGGTAATTGAACCCAAGTCACCGAAATGGTAGCCCCGTGTGTTACCATGACACCAGTGCTCCCAAAGTATTTATACAAAGATCCCCACGTGTAGCCTCAACAGACTATTGGGGCAAGTGCTGTTAGCGAGCACCTGTGAAGGCGCCGGCACTGTGGCACATACGAAGGAGGTGGGTGGCTAGCACCATGCCCCGACCGCCTTTGTCTCCCCAGTGGTGATATTTACATGCCTCCGCCAGGTACTTGTTTTAGGCTGAGTTGACCTAGGGGAGGCCTAAAACCGGTTCACATAATAGTCTGCGGTATTGGTGGCCATGAGCGGGTATCGGATTCATAGTGCAGCGTGTTAACCACTGCACTACCGCTGCCCACTGTACATGTGTAGTGATGTTTATTGGGTCACTACGGCGTTTAGCGCCAGCTACTGATGGAAGAGTGTAACTGTGCGTGTTAGAGCCTCTCTCTGACACCAGCGTATGTTATGGGGCATGGTACTGGTGGCTGTCAGAGAGAGGACAGTTGAGGACGTGACAGTCTGGTTGAACCCGAGAGGGCACGTGACCAGGACAGGGTAAGAATGTGAGCCAAAGGGGGCGAGAGGGACACGTGGTGTATGGCCCAGAACCTTCTAGGAGGATCCAGAAGGGGGCTTGGCCGAGGGCGGAGCCAGGCCACGCTCAGGGGCATTAAAGGGAGGTCCCGAGAGCCGATTGCTGCCGTCTTCTGGAACGTAACCCGCCGTGCTACGTCTCTTCGATCTTCGGTCTTCGCTCGGCATCGTGGGTCAGTCAGAATGTTACTGACTGACCCGCTTATGTAGTTACCCTGTTAAAGTAGTGTTGTTACCCTGTTGGGGGTCTCGTTAGCATGTGCACTTTTATGTAGTTAGCCCTGTTGGGGCTGTGAAATAAACGTGTTGCCTCCAAGCCAAGTGTGTGCCTCCGTGTTCAACATACACATGTATATACACACTACACCCACATACTCTCTTAAGCATTTTCTATAGATAGGAAGGATATACAACACCTGGCTTCCTGGTTCAGACAATTCCATCTTTCCATATCAATTGCATCTTTCTCCATGTCAGCCAGTCGGCAGAAGTGTACGAAGCTCATCATCCAGTTTACTGTGCTAGTCGATAAGATTATGTTGACGCAAAGCAAAGAGGGAGTGACCTGCCCACCGATATGTAATATGTATTTGCAATATATTACTGTCGTTTTTACTTAAATAATACCCCTACATACATGCATGACCGATGCATAAACATTTTAACACTCTGTATACATTTAAATTTGCAGTGTCGTCTTCTTGTACGTAGGGTGGATGTGGTAATTTATCACCCCCCCCCCCTCCCCGCTGAAAATTCTGTTCACGTCACGCGCACTTCGTTTGGAGATGCGAGACATGTCTGGCGACGAGGGAGGAGACCTTTAGCAAAAAGGACATTTTTGTATTTTCTTGGTATTCGGCAATGGCATTGGTCAAAAAAAAGTTCACCAAAATATAACAAAGCGGTCTCGGCTGCAGTGTTATTTTCAGTTTTATCGGTTAAAACTGAAATCCCCTACCTACACTCCTTGACAGTTTTTTTTTGCTCATCCAGCAAGGGATGGCATATGGTCGATTCAACACGGGGAGCTTAACTCTTAAGCCTACGATTCCTCAAACACACGGGTGAAACGGCACGACAAGGTAGCTTTGCATCCTCCTCTTCCTCTCGGCGTTATTGACGTAGTCGGCCCGCGCAAACCCCACCGAACGAATTGTTGAAAAGGCTTGCGTTGACACTGCCCCCGTTATTCTACCACGCCGGGCTTGCCCGCGAGTCGTTGTCTAAGCAATGTTTGCGTTTATCATTGCAGGATTGCAGGGCTTGGTCTGCATGCACTGGCTCAATGTCTCCTACAACCGCATCACCGACCTCATGGGTAAGAGACGGTCCACACTGCCCCGGCGTTGCTTGTTTCGTTGCGCTTGAACTTGCGGGGCCCATAGGTCACTCACGTCTGTGTCTGGGAAATGTAATATCATCCCGCTGTCTGCTCAAGGACGCTGTCGCATGTTATTCATGAAAAATACAATACCTCTAAACCAATTGCTATGGAACGTTTTATTTTATGTTTTCCCACAATTGGATCGCTGCTGTGCCATGAGCGTCGTGTGTAACGAGACGGAGCATGCATTTGTAGCTTTATGAGAGAAGTGCAAAAGCCATCACTTTTTAGAGAATTGACCGTGGAAGTGGATTTCACAGAGCTATCGTTTAAAATCCCTTCCAAGTGACCTCTGGTCCACAGAGTAGGGAGCATCACCTCCCCACTTGTGCTTCCTCTCATAATTGCATGCTTTGGTGCACGATTTTAGCCAACATTTAATGATGGGGTTTCATTTTGTGCCCATAATAGGTGAGACTGCCAACACCTACACTCGAGAATCCGGCTTGATCACGGGCAGCTCAAACCTGGATTCAAGCTCACGATCTCAGTGGTCTGACCTCTAAACCACCTTGAGTGAAACTTACCACACAGCTTGCCAATTCACCTTTTCCCGATGTTTATGGTTCGCAGGCAAAATTGGCAACATTACACTTTCCAAAAAAAGCATTCATATATCAATGAAAAAAACGTTTTTATTCATTAGCATCATCAGTGTGCCCCGTGCATTTAACCTATGCATCCGTTTGCATGTTCATTTGTGTATTTCCGTGCACACCTTTCTTTGTACATCAGATCTCCCACCAATATGGATGCTCCCCTAATATACCGGCTTTGTCAACTTGCTAGAAATATCCATTGTGTCCACTGTCGATGAGCTATAAGCCTCGGTAGCAGTGTGGGACCACCTTTTCCAATTATTGGAATCCCCTTGAGCTTACGTCGGGGAATATATTCGGCGTGCGAGCAACTACAGATTAAGACCCGCAGGATCCTTTTTTCTGTCGCATGGGTCATTTAGCCTCTACTCCAAATAGTTTTTTTTTTGCAAGGTGACACTCAAACTTAACGGGGGATTTTTTTTCCTTCCACCTGTCCTCTTTAACCTGTTTCTTTCAGAAGTGTCGGGCGCAAGCAGCAATTTTTGCAATGGGATTTTTTTTTGTCGCACACACGCGCGGCAATATATTGCCGTGACACCGGAGAGTCAATCGCCGCGTTTCACCACGAGGGATTCCCCACCTCGTTTTCACCCGTCCCGACTCAAGCACTCGGCTCCACAGCCTTATAAGAGGTTGTGCTTGGGATGCGTTGGTCAGAAGCGCTTCACGCGCGGTTTGAATATTGCGAGTTCAAATCGCGGCCGTGCGGGCAGTTAACAGTGCCCGGACGTAATTCTTCCTTCGCCGCTGGTAAAAGTTAGTATCGCCTTGTGGGAAATCCATAGTGCTTATTCTATGGGGAGACGGAAAGGTTTAAAACGGACATTGAATGCCACCCTGGTGCTTGTTTGAGCAGGGAAGCACTTTGATTGAATAATTGAGGAAGTCGGTTGTTGTGGAATAATTTATTAAATAAGTTTCAGGTTTTATAGTGGCACATTGGTTTGTGCAGTATGCTAGATAACCTAAGATTCGATTTATTTGATTGTGTGTATGTTGAACTTCTGTCGCACCGTGCGTAGTCAACCGTGCTAATCGGAGGTGCGGTGGAAAGGACAATAAATTAAACACAAAAAGCAGTTCTAAAGAAGGGAGTTTTCACTCTAGATTAAAAAACACAGTCATCATCAGTGGTTAGTGCTATTTGAACCAGTCAAGGGCTGTTGCTTGACCAACCCACACTGACCAGCTTGGTGAAGTATGGTCAAACAACATTCGTTCGTGACCTGGCATGGGAAGGCATTAATCCAGCAGTGGATTGACACAGGGCTTATAACTTTTAAACGTTTTTTTTTTATATTGCTTATCCACCTACCATAGCATTATTTAACAAACCAAATATAAGAGTACACACAATTTTGCCTAGTTTACATTGATAGAAACAATCACCGTTTGGAGTGAGAGCATTTGCATTGCGCTAATGTAGCACATTCACATTTAATTTGCCACAGTTATTGCATTGAGAGATGGCAGATGCCCTCCGGCTGTACGCCAATATATATTTTTTTCACCCGTGCTTTGTTTATGTAAAATTTAGTGGCTATAAAAATCACCTTTTTAACATTCACACGCCAAACGGTGAGGAGTAGATGTTAAAAGGTTGTCTGCTCCTATTTTTTTAAATGTCTGACATTTTAGCGTTTGTGTCAAAGCAACTAATGCCTCCAGCCACAACAATTATTTGTAAACCTGAGTTCTATTCCAGGCCAAGATTAACCGACACAGTATGGGAAGACCTTCATCCAGCAGTGGATTGAAAAAAGAGCTGTAGAATACGGTAATTTGTGCAGGTGACAGGAATAACAGCTGAAACCCTAAAGGTTATCTTGTTTAGCATGGACAGTTAGCATGCTGTGCTATGATAGATAGATAGATCGTTTATTGTCATTGTCACCAGTACAACGAAATTTAAAATGCTCACCAGTCAGGGCATCATTCATAAATTTAAATTAAATAAAACAAGAAAATTAAAATTAAAATTAAATGAAAGATAATCAATTTATACTATATATAAAAACAGCTCAAGTATACCCACATACCCACATAAGGTTACATTTTGTCATTGCACATCTCTATTTCACAATCAATTGTAAACACTATTACTTAATAATTAATTAGCATTATTGAGTGTGGTGATCGCTGTAGGATAAAAGCTCTGTTTGAATCTGTTTGTCCTTGTTTTGACTGATCTGAATCGTCTGCCTGATGGCAACAGCTCAAACATCTGAGTTTGATTGCTGGTAATGGCTACCATCGGTGGTGGTTGATATCTGAACCGGGCCTGAGCACCCACACACCCTCCCCCCTTCACCAACCAGCAATGACCAGCGTCATGAAGTATGGCCAAACAACAAAAATGATGGACGCGACGTTGGGAAGCCGTCATCCAGTAGTGGATTGACAAAGGGTTGCTCATGATTATTTAAAATTATGGCTTTGTAAGGATAATGTACTCCCTGATGGCAAGCTGGAATTGCCTCGTTAACATTTTTGCTCACCAGTACATTGTTTTTTTGTAATTCTCCCTGCTGGATACCCCCTTCATATCCATCCTTCACTTCCCCCTACGTCGTGCCATCTCTAAACAATAAACAGGCTTAAAATAATGCTGTTTAATCAACCGTAATTTTATTTGAGGCTGGAGCGCATTAAATTCTGTCACGAAATTCTTTCTTCAGGGATTAATGCGGGGTTTTTTCCACACCTCCCCCATCCACCTTACCGCTACCCTGGGTTTAACGTTCCGCTAATCCAAATTGTTTAAATAATAATAAATAATCTGATAAATTATCTCCGTGTGCTGCCCGTGTTTGGAACGGTTAACTCATCGGGCACAGAGAGGCGCTCGGAGGAGGGAGCTCTCCCCGCCACCGTATCGCCAAATAAATCAATGCCGAGCCCACGCTTGTTCAAGTTCAAGTTCATTTATTAGGTATAGCCCTGTGAGCCATTCGGCTCTTGAATCGGGTGCAACCGCAACAAACAAAAAACAAAAACATGAACAAGAATACATCTTATAGTGACTATGTGCAAGCAGAAAATCCAAGAAAAGACAGCAAAATATTGCAGAAAAAGCACCGTACACCAACACTGTGTGCAAAAATCCCAGTGGGATGCAAGTCAACAACAACAACAACCACAAGACAACTTAGATTAAGGCCATCAGTCTAACTCTGTACTACAACAAACAAACATGGCCAAACCAAGAAACTTTTCGAAAATCACCAAAATAAAGCCATAAAAGCAACGAAACAGTGGTCATAGGAACTGTGACCGAATTTTCACAATAAATGACGTAAACAAACATGTACTACCAAACTCTGCAGCCATCGCTCCACAACAGTAGGAGCATCAGTCGGAGTATTTTTCAATGCACCTTTAAGATCAGCACACTCACTCCCTGCTCCCGGGGAAGTTAAGCCGTGCGGCTGCCCGACTCCTTTGCCGCGGTCGGAGCCGAATTATGCAGACGTGGTTGGAAATCTGCAGCGCTGCGAGCCAATTTCGTGGCTGAAGTAACCAATTTAAATTAATACGCATTAATAATTTACTTTTACCCAGGCAGGATAGCCGCCGCAGTATTGGCGGCTTGGCGTCTGGGTCATCCCCCGTGACAGGCGGGTGCGTTAATGCGACGCACGTGAATGAGTAAGATAAGGTGCTTAGGATTTCGTTTCGGTTCTCGAGGCTCAGGGTGGCGTCGAAGGCATCCCCCCTCCCCCCGCCAGACAAAATTGCGTACGGGGACATCCGTGTGTGAACAAATTTAAAACGTTTAATGATGTTTTTTTTTTTTGATGATTGTAAACTCGCATTAATTCCATTTTTTGTTACACGTGCAGTGGGTTCTACGGAGGCACACACTTGAACTTGGAGGCAGCACGTTTATTACACGGCCCCAACAGGGCCCCGACTTCAACGTTACAGCGATCACAGTTAACTAGACCACAACGGGGTAACTACGTAACCGGGTCAGTCAGCTAACGCACTGCCTGACCCACGGGTTGATTCCAGAAGACAGCCCGGATCGGGACTCGGGACTCGGCCTTTATGGGCGTGGCCAAGGGCTCTGCTGCCCTTGGCCACGCCCCTTTCCAGATCCTTCCCGAAGACTCTGCCCCCCTACATCACGTGTCCCTCTCCCCTCCTTTTGGGCCTCCCTTGCCATCTCGTCTGGTCACGTGCCCTCTCGGGGTCACCCAGACTGTCACGTCCTCACCCGACCTCTCTCTCTCTCACTGTCACCAGGACTAAGCCCCCTAGGGCCCGCTTCTATGGCATGCTGCACCCACGCTGGTGCCAGAGAGTTGCCCAACACGCACAGCTCCACTCTTGTGAGGGTGGCTGGCGCTAAACGCCATAGTGACTGCATTTACGTCACTACACACGTATATTAATTACGGTTATAAATAGGAGTGATGTTTTTTTCCACACCTGAAGCTACTTCTAATCCATGTTGACATTTATTTTTTATTTAGTCAATAGCAGTTAAAGTGGTGCAGGTCTTTTTTAAGCTTCAGTAATTTCATTGAACTTTGTGGGTTTCTTTTTTAGTAAAACGTTCTAAATCGCATTAATTAATCTAAAATGCATTTGACCCTGAGGCTGGCGTTTACGTGCAAGCCTCACGCAAAGGGGCCTTAACCCTGTGTTCAACGTTCGGCTGCTTGCCGTTTGAGTGACTTGGTTGGGATTTTGGTAACCGTCTCCAGTTAGCAAAAGCAACTCCCAGAGCTCTACCCGGCGGTGTACAATTTTGTCAACTCTCACTCGCTCGTACTCACGAGAGCCTATTTACGCAGCCTTTTTCCTTTGAATCTCTCTCTCGCTGCTGCTGCTGCTCCTCTTCTACGTCAACGACGGCGTCATCGTTTTTTGCTCTGCGCCCGTCGCTGGGACGCCGCGAGTGGGGTTGCGCACGTTGCGATTTGAACGATTGAACGGTGGCGCTGTGCCGATTATGGGGAATGTTTGACACTGCTTTGACCTTGACAGTGGGTGCGGGTCGGCGAAGGCGATCGGTGGTGGGGGGGTAAGATGAATGAGTGTTTCAATTGTCACAGCCTACTAATGTCGGCTGTGTCCCAGGAATCAAAACTCAGGTCGTTGGAGTTATAATTCCGTCCGCCAGCCTCTGTGCCCCCACTCTACGCAAATTACGAATTTGCTCAAGAGTCACCTTTTTTTGGTTAAGACCAGATGGGTTCTGGTTAGGGCACGTATTTTACTGTATGTATGTTGAACTTCTTTCGCACCGTACGTAGCCAACCAGCCGTGCTAATCGGGGGTGGGGAGCAGTTGCCACAAACTAAACACAAAAAGCAGTTCTAAAGAAATACGTTTTTAATCTCGATGATTTAAAAGTGCATAGCTCCAGTGGCTTCCTAATATCGTAAGGAAGAGCATTCCAGACGGGCTGCGCAAGCGCATCTGGAAGCGTGCGATGCGGTGAACCTCTTTGTTCGATGGCCACTGTTCAGCAGATGGCGGGGCCTAGCGGAGGAGCGTAGAAAGGAATCCGCGAGCTGTGGTGGCATCGGTGGCTTTGAGCATGATGACATCTCGACGTATCATTTGAGAGCGCCTGATCACGTTGGTGTAGCAAGATGCCCACAGCAGGAGTTGGGGATAAAAACGGGGATTGAGGTGAAAACACATTCCTGCGGAGGGAGCTGGTAGGAACGTTGGGTTGCTCGGTCAATGGCCAGGGTCAACGGCGGCGTGGTGTATTCCGCAAATATGGCCGACTGTGAGGGCGGGCACAAGCCGGCGTGAGTAGGTTAAACGTTGAGTTTTATAAGGGCACCACGGGGTGACCAGCCCCTCCCCACCCAGCCCCACCCCACCCCCCACCCAGCCCCACCCTCCACACCCAGCCCCTCCCCACCCAGCCCCTCCCCACCCTCCCCACCCAGCCCCACCCTCCCCACCCACCCCCTCTCCACCCTCCCCTCCCCACGCAGCCCCTCCTTCCCCACCCAGCCCCTCCCTGCACGACGGACGGACGGGCACAATAATCCCCTGTGGGCTGGTGTAACCAGGAGGTTCCTACCAGTATAAAGGAGTCAAGACAATGGCCCAGGATTGATGGTGTTTGTAACTGATGGAGTCGGGTCGTGGTGGAGGAGGTTTGGTGGGTGGCAAGGCAGTTGAGGCTCGATGCTCGTGTAGTCCACGTGATGACGATGATGAATTTATTGAGACCCAATGCCGGTGAGCTTTTCTCGGTGCCCGGTTGGCGTGTGACAACCCGTTTATTCTTCGATCGCAATAAATTCTCACGCAAATGTTGTGCATTGTAGTCTTTTGATCTTATTGTAAGAAAATGATTTGCAAACACTACACCATTATCACGTTTCAGATAATTGGGGCGAACAAAACTGTGCAAAAAGAAGTGAAAAACGGTGCAAATGAGAGAGGGTAGTTCCGAGGACGAAGAGATTATTGATTCTTGAATCAAATTGTTCCAAATCGTTGAGTGGTGGGGAGTGAGTGAATTATTGAATGGCAAGCGCTCAGCACCGAGTCCTTGATAAAACAATGGGAGGTAGGAGTGGTGGGAATTTGCAATGGGGAGGGGGAGAGGTCATAACATTGGAAATAAGACCTTTAATGTGTAGTTTACGTGAGTGGATTAGGATCCGGTGAAAGTTATAGGCTGGGCAAGCGGTACATTCTAAGCACACGGATCTGCCGCAACCAAAGGGGAGAGATGAGGAACAGGCCAAAGGCACAGCCAGAATGAAGTGGTCATCTTCATAAGGCACTGTTGATAAGCACGGTTGGCTATGTGCGGTGCGAAAGAAGTTCTACGTACGTACACACACACACATCAATTGCCCCAGCCCCCGAGCCCTGCCTGGCCCAGAGTCGGCTTCAGATGTCTCGTGTCCCGAGTCCCGATCCGGGCTGTCTTCTGGAATCAACCCGTGGGTCAGGCAGTGTGTTAGCTGACTGACCCGGTTATGTAGTTACCCCGTTGTGGTCTAGTTAACTGTGATCGCTGTAACGTTGAAGTAGGAGCCCTGTTGGGGCCGTGTAATTAACGTGTTGCCTCCAAGTTCAAGTGTGTGCCTCCGTAGAACCCACTGCACGTGTAACAAAAAATGGAATTAATACGAGTTTATGTTCATCAAAAAAAAAACCCATCGGCACAGCAATCAGCCAGTGGAAAAACGCCCCGAAACTTGTCAGGTCCCCAGGATGTCTCGACTCCAGCGTTGTGCGGTTACCCACGTGCGCCCTCGTTGAGTATTTCTCTCTCCACTGTCTTTTGACGGCTCAGGCCTGCGGGACCTGCACGGGCCAGACTACCAGCTGAGCCACCTGGAGGCACACGGCAATCGGCTGGCCGACGTGGATGCGCTGGTGGCGGCGCTGGGAGGCCTGCACTGCCTCTCCACGCTGGTGCTGCGCAAGGACGGGCAGGCCAACCCGGTGTGTCGCGTCACGGGTGAGCCGCTTGGATTGTCGTCTGCCGGTCGGCCGGGCGTACGTGCAGCGCTCTTTGGCTGGGCCGTCGGAACAAAAGGCGGTCACCGCATCGGGCGCTTTAGGTTGCGCTTCTAATGCCGTCTAAAACGCCCTTCTGATATTAGGAAGCCACTGGAGCTATGCACTTTTACATCATCTCGATTGGAAACTCATTTCCTTAGAACTGCTTTTTGTGTTTTGTTTGTTGTCCTTCCTCCGGCACCTCCGCTTAGCCACGGTTGGCTACGGATGGCGTGAAAGAAGTTCAACATGCATACATACTCCTAGGTTTTTTCGGTAAAGTCACGTAGGTAAAAAATAATATTAAAATAATAATAATAAATCACGACGTTTCGGAGGCAACACAAGTCTCTGTCTTCAGGTGGGACCATCACAGCCAAATTTACTGTATTTACTGTATCAAGTAAATTTGGCTCTGACGGTCCCACCTGAAGACGGAGACTTGTGTTGCCTCCGAAACGTCGTGATTTATTATTTAATTTTATTATTATTTTTTACCTACGTGACTTTACCTAAAAAAACCTAAGAGGTATGAATCCTTGCAGTCACGAAAGCTTCAAATCTAGAAAGACTGCATACATACCTCTGATATTCGAGCGAGAAAGACCTTTTAGACCTTTGTCCTTCCCGTGCTGTACAGCATTATCCGGCCTCTCGGAAATGTCCGCTGTTCAGCCAGCTGAATCACTCCACCCCATAATATTCCGGTGACCTTGAAAACATTGTTGTGTTCCTTTGTTCATTTTTTTTGTTTTATTCCGGACTTGACCGATCAAATACAACACAGGGGGGCCTGATTCGTATTTCGTGTAATTGCGGTCAGATTTGCCGCTATTTTCCGCGCATTTGTCCATTGTGCTCTGTTGGAAAAATAATTGGCCAACGTTTTCTCGACAGTGCGCGAATCGGGCTCTGATTTTGTGAACTTTCTTTTCTTCTTGCAACTGGCAAGCAGCTGACGAGCGATAAGCGCTTGGAATGTTTTGCTTAAATACAAAACCCGCGGCGAGAAATATCGCAGCTCCTTGACATTTGGGTTTATTTACAGCATCTTGACATTCTGTATCGCGTTTAGACGCCATACGTACAATTGGTGTTGTATTTTTTTTAATGATGACAATGGGGACATCAGTAAATTAATAATGGAGCTGGATGCAACAAACACAGCCTATTAAGCATCAAGAATGTTGAAAATTACACGTAATCGTGTGTGACGTGCCTTCTGTGTGCCCGATGTAAGATAATAGCGGTGATGTTAATGTGATTATAGTTTTTGTCGTATTTGCCCATTTGTGTCGCTCGGTAAGCAGAACGTTTTTATTGCGTCGTGATTTTTTTGCCCCATTAAGGGGGGCCTCGTGTAATTTGTAAATCTACAATTGAAGCCTGTTTATCGGGCACTCCAGTTTTTAATAGCTCGTCAGGCAAAGAACTTTCTAATGATGAAACAGCCCTAATAGTTTTTTTTGGGGTTAGATTGCGTAAATATAAATGTGCCATTAAACCCGCCACCACCCGATACAGCCAATTAATAAGGTTTGTCATGTAAACAGAACGTGCCAATTCGTCACTAGTACAGCACACCGGTGTGTTGGAGAGCAAAACCACAACATTTACAATCTGAGTGCGACGTTTCGTCAGTAATTACAACCAGCTTTATCAGGCGACAGCCAGATTGGTGGAGAAATCCTCTTTTTTCGTTCCTTTAATAGAGGGATAGATGTGGTTACGTCACTTGTGAGCCCTTCACGTGCTGAAGGGGGGATTAATGAATGTCATTTATATATATATATATGGCAAACCCATATTAATTTCTCAAACCAAGAGACGGGCCTAGATCGTGTTACGTTACTTGTGCAGACCTTGGCGACTGGACAGAGACCATCAACTCACCGCACTCGAGAACCAAGTTTAGTCACCGGCAGCTAAAAGCCTGGAATCGTACCTCGTCTTTCGGGCGGCGGTGATGGCGACAGCGCTCAGACCTCGGTAGCCACTCGGCTTCCTTCGGAGGAATTGCAGGACGCGATGGGAAGAGTGGCGTCTCCGGCGGGCGTGGTGTGCTCCCCGCAGGCTACAGGGAGCGTGTGTTTGAGGCTGTCCTTTCGCTGCAAAGTCTGGACGGCCGCGACACCCTGGGCACTGAGCTGAGCAGCTCTCGGGAGGGACCGAGGCTGGCGGAGCTCCGGGATTTGGAGGACTTCCTGGACGTCCTTGACCATTGTGACGACGACCGCATCGTCGAGCGGGTGAGGCGGCGCGTGCGTCTCACTGTTTATTGCCAGAGCTATAATTGTCGTCGTTATGTTTGCGTGTACGTATATGGAACTTCTTTCGCACTGCACGTAGGCAACCGTGCTAATCGGAGGTGCGGGGGAAGGACAGCAAACCACACACAAAAGGCAGCTCTAAAGAAATGAGTTTTCAATGTAGATTTAAAAGTGCACAGATCCAGGTGTTGAGATGTTAAAACACCAAACTGCAACCTTTTACAAGGAATCATGTCTGATATTATATGCATTGTCTTTGAAACTGATTGGTCTACACCAGAGACAGCTTTCTTTAGAGCCTCGTCTCAAACGGTGTCCTATGGTCTAACACCGTTTTGAGACTAGGCTCGAAAGAAAGCTATCTCTGGTGTGGATCAATCAGTTTCAAAGACAATGCATATATTATCAGAGTGGTTTTTTTGTTTGCTTTCTGACCACAAGTATTGTGGTTAATGCAGACATGATTCCTTGTAAAAGGTTTCAGTTTGGTGTTTGAACATCTCAACACCTGTTTTATTGCCGTAAAAAAGGGGAAAACCTATTCTCATATTTTGGTACTGGCAAAGGAGGTCACATGATGCACAGCTCCATTGGCCTGCCAATATCGGAAGGGGAAGAGAGTTTCAGACGGCCACAGAAGCGCATCTGAAAGTGCAGGATGCAGTGACCGTGTTTAGCCAAACCAAGAAAAGGATCAAATCATCTTTGTAATTACTCATTAGATCGTTATGCAATTGTCTGCCATTATAAATGTGTTCATGTTAATCATCGTTATTGGAGTCGTCAACTTTATCATCACGAAGCAGATGATGATCATTATCATCATAATTTTCACGGCTCTCAAACAATGTGTAGCCATCATTGCAAGCATCCTGGGTGCACTAATCGGATACGAGAAGTGTTTCTTTTTTAACCTAGCACCGCTGTTTTTAATTTTAGCATGCTCGATCACTTCTGTTACTACATTCGCCTCTGCTATAACAGAAGTGACCGAGATCTGTTTGTGTTAACGTGGGGAGCGTTAGTGTAGCGATTAGCACGCTGCTCTACGAACCTGACGACCCAACCACCATCACCAGTGACTATAATAGGGACATAAAGGCGGCCGAGTGTGGTGCTGGCCACCCACCCCCTCGTGTGCCATGCCGGCCTTCATAGGTGCCGCTCGCCAACAGCACTTGCCTCAACAGTCTGTTAAAGGTTATGCAGGGGACCTTTGTCTTTGTCTAATGCTCGCCAACAGTATATGAAAGTCGTTTTCGCCCCTCTGGAAGGAATAAGTCCCGCACCCCCATGCTAAAGTGGCTTTACAAGTGGTCTCGAAACAGCCACCATCCGTTATATACAACATGAAGCTGTAGCGATACCAAACCAGGTGTGAAGAGTTGCAGGCATTGCGGCTGGCAGCAAGTCTGCACTCTGGGGTCGAGGGAAAGTAAATTGATCTGGTTGTTTTCACATGGCGAAAGGTGAGCCAGACCTTTACAACAAACGCATTTGCTATCAACTTCGCGTTTCAATCGTGGACCATTTTTTTTTCCATTTACGAAAGGGGGTGGGGGAAACGTAGAAAAAATAAATCCCTTGTCCAAACCAGAGAGATCGTAAGGAGAAATTCTGGGTGAAACTTTTGGAGCTTGCGGTTGGATAGGCAGTACCGCATGAGTGTGGTGGGTAGGGGATAAAGGATAGAAGTCTATTTTTCTCTAAGTTGAAGGTGACGGCGGTGACGAATGTCATACGTTCGTACGTATCTTGAACTTCTTTTACACCCGTACGTAGCCAACCGTGCTGGTTTTGTGGTTAACACAATGTATAACGTGCGCATATTTTGTGAATCACGCCTGATTCTGAGAGATCGGGGTTGCTTTGACAGGGCCCCGGCGGTCGCTCGTTCGGCCTTTGTTGCGGACGTCCACGGCACAAATCCATCGGCCGCGCTGATGATTATTATTATGATTACCGCGGCCGTATCAACCTTAAGTAAACTATTACGCTCCGTCCACTTCCGAGCATACATTGAAGGTCCCCTGACATTCGCAAGGGCAGGCCGATGTGTGCCGGCGTCGGAGGGGATCCATATTTCGCCCCCTGCTGCGAAAAGCTTTGACTGGACCCTTCTGAATGAGAGACGTGACACTTTCTTTTCCTGGGTGAACGAAATAAATCATGTGGGAATGACGTGCTGCGGGAGGGAGTCGTAGAGCCTCTGCGAGGTTGATGGATTTCCCCCCCCCCTCTCCCTCCCGGCGGGTTCTCAGGGTGATTCGCTGAGCACGGAGGGGCCAACGGCACCGTGCTACCGACGGCACCGTGCCACCGGGCAGGGAGACGCGGCGAACGGGAGTGAGGCAGAACCAGGGACAGGCGGGGGAGCGAGCGAGCGGCGAATCGAGAAGTTGGAAGAGCAGATCTCGACCCTGCTAAGGCAGGTAAGGGTGGTTACCTCACCGGCACATCAACCACCTAGCTTCCTCCCTCTTGCTGCAGTGGTGAGATGTTAACTCCCTCGCCTGGTATGCAGGAGGTCGTGGGTTTGATCCCAACCCTGACGGCTTCTCTCACTTGATGCAGCAAATCTAGCTGTGACGGTCCCACCTGATTACGGAGACTTGTGTTGCCTCCGAAACGTCGTGATTTTATTATTATTTTATTTCTATTATTACTTTTATTAATTTTAATTTATATTTTTCACCTATGTGACTTTACCGAAAAAAACCTAAGAGTATGAATCCTTGTAGTAACGAAAGCTTCAAATCTAGAATGAATTTCCCAAACATGTCAATGCAGATCCCTTGAAAAAAAAAAAGTCTAGAGATTCATGAACGCCTTGCTGAATAAATACATTCATATGCTCATTAGGGGTCGAGTGCGTGACTGCTGTGCCGTCAGCAGAGCGCGATGTGTAGCGGGGCATGCTGTGGGGGCCTCGTTCTGCTGTGGTTTGGGCTTCGCCCGCGCATTGTTAATTTTAAGGGGTCCTCTCAATGTCGTATAAAATATTAATAGACTCTGCTGCCAGTGGTGTACAAGCACACATCAAAAAAAAAAACCTCACCACATCCGTCATGAACATTCTCTCATTCCAATAAAGTATATAATAGACAAACTTTTTGGGCACTGCCCCCCCCCTCCCTCACTTTACATTTGGGAGAAACGTCCCCCAAAACCCGCTCCCTCCGATTACGATTCCGTGAATTGTCACGATTCAAGGTCATGATTCAATACCTGCATCGATTTTTCTTTTTGTTTTACACTCTTTTTTCCCCCTGTAATTTGTTGAATATTTTGCCCCACCCATCCCCCCACGGTAATTTCTTCTAACTGCTATCGGCATCATGATGAGAGATGAAAAATCAATTTGGAATTCTCATGGAGCATTGTGCAACGCGCGTTAGAGAACGATCCACGGAAGGGATTTATTCTTTTGTTCACAGCATTTCTCCCAAATAACCCTTCAAGGTGGGGGGGGGCCTTTGTACCCTTTACAGATTAAGGAGGACACTTTCGCAAAGTCTGCCAAAGGGATTATTTTCCACGTGACAGTCAAACCGATATTTTTTATTCTCGTGGCCAGAATTCAACCGAGTGAAGTGCAAAACCATGATAATTGTTTATTTACCCATTTATCTGGCAACAAAACTGACACCTATTTACAAGGAGTCATGTTTGCATAGACCGCAATACCTGCAGTCATAATACAAACAAAAGAACATAACTCTGATAATGTGCACTGTCCTTAAAGTTGATTGGTCCACACCCGAGACAGCTTACTCTGATGGTGCATTGTCTTTGAGTTGTGCGCCTTTTGGCGTCATCTGGTCCAACCCATGTGAGACTAGGCTCTAAGGAAAGCTGTCTCGGGTGTGGACCAATCAACTTCAAGGACAGTGCATACATTATCAGAGTTGTGTTTTTTGTTTGCATTATGACTGCAGGTATTGTGGTCTATGCAAACATGACTCCTTGTAAAAAGGTGTCAGTTTTGTTGCCAGATAGAAGGGTAAAAAAACAATTATCATATTTTGACTCTCAAATAAGGTTCCAATGGTGCAAAACCATATTTACTGATGTTTTTTTATTATTGTTGTGTAGCCGATGGTGACCAGGCTGAGACCATCAAATTGCTACACCTGAGAGCCCGATTGAGTCACTGACAGCTGAAACCCAATTTTATTAAATGCAGGATCTCAGCTGTGTTGGCTCAGTGCTCTGATCTCGGAACTCAGAATCTGTATTTTGACTGGAGGAATCCAATGAGCTATAAAGCTCTTTTCAGAGATGTCCAGCATGGCAGGTCAGCAAGCTATATATAGGGGTGGGTTGCAAAGATCATGTGATGATTATTGTGTTTTGATGTGGCGCCCTACTATACGCCGTGGCCTCTTGGGGCATCTTATCTCACGTGTTTTAAAGGGCACCCCCAGCAGCAGCTGTCCCTCTTGGTATCAAGGTGATCCGGCACCTGGCCTGAAAAACGGCATTTGTCTGCCAATGTGAGGCGATGATTGCTGCGCATAATCCCAGCTTTAATCGTTTAAACCTTTTTACGTGCAACACATACCAACTGTAAACCACTGATTCGTCCACATGTAATTCCATCTAATTATCTTGCTCTTATGAATAAATATTAATTGATGTATCATTGTAAGGCTACTTAATAATGGTTAGCTCACATATATTTTTTTAAAGTTTTGAAGCCATTCCTTATAATGCTAGCCTTCTACTTATAAGGCAGTGCCTACTGCCAAAAGCGGAATGCACCAGATCTTGTCATGGTTTCGTTCGCTAAGCTGCGTGGAGCTTGTTTCGTGACCACCGAAGCTCAGAGGTCGCAAACGGGTTTTGATTCCTTACCCGTGCCCGGCCGCACCAGGGTCGCAAATGGGTACCCGTACCCGGCCGGGTACGGATACCCGTTCCCTACCCGTACCCTACCCGAAATGATTGACAAACGGTTACTCACCAGTGACTCACGGCCTACCCGTACCCGGCCGCACCAGGGTCGCAAACAGCTACCCGTACCCGGCTGGGTACGGGTAGCCGGGTATCAGGTACGGGTACGGGTATCGGGTATCCGTTTGCGACCTCTGCCGAAGCTTGCCAGGTGCTGACGGCATGGTGCTGCAAGGCGCCAGTGTCAGGAGATGGCAGTCATGAGGGTCACCTCTTGTGCGTGGCTTTTCCCTGGGGTACTCCGGTTTCTTCCCACGCGTCAAGCACTTCAGGACATTGTGGAAAAAGAGCTGCATAGCTCATCGGATTCCTCCAGTCTAAATCAAGATTCTGATCCCAATGCAGGACCCCCCCCCGCACCCCCTGCAAGCACCTGGGCAGATGTTTGCCGTCGGTTGTTTTAACGACGGAAGTCGTGGCGGCTGCTCATTCGATTGGATTTCCGTGTGCCGTTTTCATTAGGAGGCAAAGCGTTGCCTCCTCCAACCTTCTCTCTCTCCCCCCCCCCAAGCCAGGCAGCAAGCAGGGAAGGGAGGAGGTGGGGGGGGGGCCTTTGTTGTTAACAAATAAGTTTGCAGCTGTTTCTAGATTTGAAGCTTTCGTGACTGCAAGGATTCATACTCTCAGGTTTTTTTGGTAAAGTCATGTGGGTAAAAAATAAAATTAGAAGTTAATAAAAGCAATAATGGAAATAAAATAATAAATCACGACGTTTCGGAGGCAACACAAGTCTCCGTCATCAGGTGGGACCGTCACAGCTAAAATTACTGCATCAAGTAATTTTAGCTGTGACGGTCCCACCTGATGACGGAGACTTGTGTTGCCTCCGAAACGTCGTGATTTATTATTTTATTTTATTTCCACTATTACTTTTATTAACTTCTAATTTTATTTTTTACCTACGTGACTTTAGCGAAAAAACCTGAGAGTTTGCAGCTGTTTGCCTGCTCGGCCACGGCGCGCAAAGCCATTATTATTAATAAAGCTGGCACTTTCGTTACGGACGTTCGACCGCGAGGAGCGAAAAAGGCCGCTGTTTTCTCAGTCCGTTCTCTTTGCGGTCGTTTTCTCCCCACGCGTTTTTTCTTTAGTTTCTTTCGACCAGTCTTCTTCGTTTCTCGTTCCCAACGAAATAAGCAGGGCGCTTGAAGCAGAGACTCCTATTGATCGAAGCGATTGTGCGGGTCTCCAGCGGCGAGATGAGCTGTCGTTGGAACAGCAACAACAAAAGTTATTTTATACTCCGGTTTCTTTTTTTAAAGACATTATTAACACAATAGGAATCCACTCGGAACAGTTTAGAGCAGTCAGATTGCGTTAATTTCTTTTTTTTGCTCTCTTTTTAAAGTAGTTTATTTCTTTATTTTCCTAGCGCCGCTTTTCGCTGCAAGAGATTCATGACTTGGAAGCGTTTAGTGTGTTCAACTTTTGCGAATTATCCGATGTTAAAATAATGAGATTTCAAATTGGAGAAGCATATTTGCTTCATTAAAGCATAAGAAAACCCTATTATTTCCATTCCACACATATATATTTTTTTATATTACCAGTTAATACCCAAGTTATATTGTTATATAATACATATACCAACAATGAAAGGCACTATGTACGAATTATTTTAATTATTTTTTCCAGCGACTGAATTTTCATATGCATGATGTTCCTATATAATAAATGGTTGGTAATAATGAAATAGCTTACGCAATACAATAGCTCGCCTGATAGTGTGCTGAACGTTTTTTTCTTTCTCTATTGCCTGCGCGTGCGTATGCATGAGTGGTGTACGCCGGTGTGTATCGGATTTTTTTTACGAGTCCCTGGTGTAAACGTCGCCCATGGGTGATACAAAAGGTGTTCAGGAAAAGGTTTGTCGACTGTAAAAAATCACCCCCCTTGTGTGTTGCGCCAGCCTTAGCGGTGTATTCATTCAGCGCACTTGGACAAAATGGAACGATTACTCAAGGGTGTACAAAGAATCGGAATCTGATGAGATACCAACAATACAAAAAAGACGCCGTCGGTGCTCGCTAGCGGAAAGGCAAGTAGATATATAATAAAAGTGCGCAAGTGCATACATTACTGCCGATTTGTCAACACCAAATGCAAGCTTGGGGCAATGCAGCAAAACAACAATAACAGTCCCAGACCACACCAAGACAGCACGCAGTCCCTCAATTGCTTTGCACGTAAAAATGTAACTATCTATACATGGGTAAGATTCAAAGTTGACGGTGACCTTGTCTGCAAGTGTGTGTATGCCAGTGGTGGTGTCGTGGTTAGCGCATTGGTGGTTAGCGTGCCGTGCTACGAATCCGGCGACCAGAGATCGATTCCTGCTCACGGCCAACACCAGTGACGGTTATCTGAACCGGTCCTGGGCCTCACCTCGGTCGACTCGCTCTTAAATAAGTACCGAGTGCGCTGTGTAAACATCGCCACTGGACACGACATCGGTGCGTGGTGCCTGACTCCCCCACACCACCCTGTGTAGTATGCCGGCCTTCATAGGTGCTCGCTTAACAGTACTTGCCCCAGCAGTCTGTTCAGGCTACACGGATATGATGCTTTGTCTTTGTTTATGGCATTCATTAGGTTCCGAATGATGCCGCGGCTTCCTCGTCCCCTGCGCGACCGCGAGCCAAGAGGGACGTGGACGACACGTCGGAGAGCGAGCGCGACGGCTCGGCGGGACCGTGCTCCGGCCCCGCGCGAAGAGGCCGCGTGCCGAGCCGCAGGAGACCGACGGAGACGCCGCGCCAGCGCACCGCCACGGCCACGGCCACGGCCGGCGGTGGTGGCGGTGCGCAAAAACTAGCAAAGTCTCGCAGGTTGGTAAAAAAAATATATAATATCATCAACGGAAATTTTAAGCGTGCAGCCCTTGTTTTTGACTGGGGGAGATGAGAGGCACAAGAAGAGGGAGAGTTACATTACGTGAGCAGTTTGAACAATTGTATGCGTCTGTGGGAGTAACTGATGTCGAGTTTCTGGGTGAATATTGTGCGCAGAGCTAAAAGGAAGGCTATGATCGCCGGCGTCTTTGAGAAAGGATACGGCACATCGAGAGAGAGAGAGCAGCCATGAGGGCTTTGAGCAGTGAATTCTTCATGGCTGATGATGATGTAGGGCATTGAGCAGTGCATTTGTTGATGGCTGATGATGATGTAAGGCATTGGGCATTAATAGACTGTTCATGGATATTGATGGTTATGTAGGGAAGAGAACAGTGGCTTGCTCGTGGCTGATGATGACGTAGGAAATTAACCAGGTGGGGGGGACTCATCCCGCGGAGTGCAGGCAGAAGGGCAGTAGCCCTGGCTCGGACGCGAGCGTCACGGCGGCGACGAGCGACTCTGCCGCAGCCGCCGGCGTCGATCGTCGTGCGAACCGCGGCCGCCCGTCAATCCATCTCGATCCGGCGTCCACCGAGGAGTCCACCTACAGGGTACCGCACGCACGCTCGCACGCTCGCAAAGACAAGGGTCCCGCTTGCAAAGGCTCTTAACAGAATGCCGAGGCAAGCGGTGTTCGTGAGCGCCTGTGAAGGCCTGCATAGGCGCTCTCTCACACGCCGGTCGGCATGGGTTGGTGAAGGTGGGCGAGTATAGACGCGGGAGTATTGATGTTCAGGACTCTTCTGCGCGACGACCCTCTGCTGCCCACAGCTGAGCCCCCATGTAAGCTTGTCATGCATGGTGGCCGAAGAACGCCGAGGACGCGTGGGGTGGAGTAAACGGTGGGTGCTCTCCCACCTCTTCCAAGACAATCTGGCCAGTGTAGGACAATAGATGAATTATCCTGCAGTACGGCTCCCGAGAGTTCTCTCAAGTGGAGGCCCTTCCGCTAGCAGCGTCGTGAACAAGCCGTTGCAGGGCTTCTCCTTGACCTAAACAAGGCATCGCGGCTTCATGCCTTCACCTCTCCAAGGGTGCCGTGATGGCGAGATGTTATCTGCCTTGCCTGGTATGCAGGAGGTCTTGGGTTCAATCTCTGACCATGACGCCTGTATATTTGGACTTTGCGTGTTCTCCTCCGTAGTTGCGTGGAATTTTCTCCGGGTCCTCCGGTTTTTCCCTTCCACATCTAGAAACACGTGTTTTGAGTAATTGGCTGCTATAAATTTCCACGTAATGAGCCACTTTATTGGGCTATCATTTGTGGCCAGGTTGCTTCTGATAAAGGGACTATATAGCTCCGTGGGCCTTCCCTCGTAAAGTAGGAAAAAAGTGTTAAAATAGTTACATCATTGCACAATCAAACTGGGCATCGGTAAAATAGCACACGCAACGGGTTTTTTTTCCGCCGTGCGTGTGCGCAGGCAAGCAAGGCGCCTTCCCGGCTTGTCTGCCGCACCAACACAAAGGCGAGATTATAGCCTCTGAGCTCAGCCCTTCTCCCAAACGTAGCTTATGAGCCGCCTCTCCCATGACCATGTAACAGATATGCTCTCTCTCCAGGCTTACCAACAGCTCTAGCCCCAACGCAGCTTCCCGCTAGAATCCTAATCCGGGCATCTGTCGCGTGTGCTTCCTTCGTTGGGTTTTTTTGAAAGTTAACAATGTTTTTTTTGTAAATGTCAAGGATAAAATTGTTTTGGCAGCTTCACTGGAGGAAGAAAAAAAACGAAAGTCACGCAGCAATAATTGTTTTTGCCAGGCAATGTTTGAAAAACCCCCAGACAAACAGATGCCGTTCGTGCGGCTGGCGTATGTCTGCCGAATTTGCCCGATAGCCTTTGCAGCTCGCTAGTAGGCTTCTTCTGATTTCTGTTGACTCGCGTGATGCCAGGGTCTACGCCGGCCGGACCTCGCGGCCGAACGCACACTCGCTAGCGCGTTGAACACCGCACGCGCCTTTTGCGCGTGCATCCACCGCGACTGAAAGAAATGTTCCCGCGACCCGCTCACTCTCTCTCTCGAGAGAAGCCCCTCCTCCCCCCCCGAGCCCGCAAGTGTCTTGTGGCCTGTCAATATTGACGTGCGTTATATCTTTTCCGTCGCATTCAGAGCATGGTGGCGGCATTATTTTTTTTTCGTTCCCACACTTTTGCTGGAGACTTACCGCTTATTTCTTATTGACTTACTCCCACCCCCCCCCACCCCGCCACTTTGCAGAAGAGTATTACTATGGCCTCCTTCATCTGTCTTTGCAAAATTTGCACAGGCTGCGTTTTTCATATAACCGGCAGAAATATCCCACATGGTTGTGCTTGCAATCCAATCGGGGTTTGAGTACAAACAAATATTAAGGTCACTCATTCAGGAATAATTATTATTTTTAGCTAACTTGGGGTATTAGAAGTCAGTCCTGCGTTCACTCGAGTGTTGGGCCTCCGTTGTTTTTCTGTCAAAAGAAATGCAAATGTCAAGAGGTGGTCGGGTGGCCTAGGGGTTAGGGCGCTGAGCCGGCCCTGCCGAGATGCTGGGTTCAATATTCTGGGTTCAATATTCTGGGTTCAATATTCTGGGTTCCGCCATCCCTGATGAAACTGGGTTCCCAAGTGTAGTGAAATGATGGTCAAAGCCCAGTCACCAATGGCTGCACACACACACACAAAAAAATGACATTACATATTTGTTTTCACTTTATTTTGCATAAATTCCACCACTTCAAATATAAACAAATGCTTGCCTGACTGCAATTTTTTGCACGAACATTAGTTTGCAATAGTCTGTGTGGGTAAAGTGCAACTCCCATCTTGTAGATAAATTATGATCACTTGAAGGAACTGCCGACTAACTTCAGCTTGTAAGCGTAAGGTCACCTTGTGCCATACAGGGACAGCTGATACTGGGGGGGGTGGGGGCGGGGTGAATTTTCAATGTTTGAGATGAGATGTAAGGCGCATTTCTTGTATAAAGTGCTCTGAGACGCTGCCACGGTGTTAAGGTCGCTCTGTCAGAAGCAAATCGATCAATGCCAATGGGCTCGTTCCTCTAACGGATATTTTGTCTCGTCGCATGATGCCAATATCACGTGTGGAATCAAATTGGGGGAAAAAAAATGGCACTCGTTTCATTTGTGTTGGCGCGAAAGTGTATTTTATACAAGTAGCTATTGCAGCCAATGAGCAAAGCAAGTTCGTACGCTGCCCAATCTCATTAGATGTCAGAAGCTAAGATAGGCTTGAGCCTGGCACCGGCTTCCTCCCACACAAAGCCAAAACCAAACCTTTCATGGGATTAGCCAAACATTCACGATCATTGCCCTCTTGAAAATAAAATTATGCTTTTACCTGTAAGTATCGCTCCATTGTAAACTTGAGAAAACAAAATGTGACCATAACCGTAACAGGATCTTTAGCAACAATGAGGTGCGCTGGCCCATTGTGCTGTTGGGCAACAGATGGCTGCATTCCATTACAGATCATTGATAGAAGGCAAATTTGCTGCAAGTGACACGATGCGGTAAATAACATACGTCGGTATGAATGGCTCATTATGCATGCAGGACGTCCGGGGCTGTTAGCCGCGGCCGTATAATCACGGGCTTGCAAGGCGGGCGCGTGTGTTTTTAAGTGCCTCGCGTAATGTGTCCGAATTGCCTCGCAGGTAGCGGCGCGGCAATGGAATAAAATGTTAAATACGGCGCCGGCTGGTGCTCCCCGCACGCGGTTTGTTTATTTTTATTGCTTAATATACATTCGTCAAATCCTCAGTGGGCTTGCAGAGGACCGGAGAGTAGACAGCGGCGGCGGCGGCGACGGCGCAAATTGCAAAGACCGTTAGAGCCCCTTCTGAAACTTGGCACTACATTTATCTTTAAACTTTAAAACCGTTTTTTTTTCCTCTTTTTTCTTTTCAGTAGCTGAGAAGAAAAAGCAGGATGATAAAACAAGGTTATCTCGTGACCCCGAGCCGCCAGGTTCATCTTCGCAGTTGCCGTGATCAGGGGTGACGTTGTGGAAGTAAATTCACCGGACAAGAAAAATACTCATGACACGTGCTGAATAGAAATTGCAATGTAAGATATGAGAATAGGTTTTCCCCTTTTTTCTGGCAACAAAACAGGTGTTGAGATGTTAAAACACCAAACTGAAACCTTTTACAAGGAATCATGTCTGCATTGACCACGATACTTGTGGTCAGAATGCAAACAAAAAACATCCTCTGATAATATTTGCATCGTCTTTGAAACTCATTGGTCCACACCAGAGACAGCTTTCTTTTGAGCCTAGTCCCAAACATGTCCTCTGGTCCTAACACTGTTTGTAAAAGGTTTCAGTTTGGCCAAGGAGGTCTCATGATGCCAGGTGGCTCAGCGGTAGAGCAAGCGGCTAGCAATTGAGAGATTGCAAATTTAAATGCCGGTTGAGGAATCATTCGGCCCATCATCCCTCCAGTGTTGATAAAATTAGTACCACTTTGTGTGGAAGTAAAGCGTTCTTGTCCTATGGATATACTCCCGACATAGGTATGTGGAATTTTTGCACCACTGGCTGTGGGCGGTGACTTTTATTTTCGACTTTTAAATTCCAGTTTCATCAACGTGTGTGCGCACGTGTCGCGAGCCCGTATTGTGCGGGATGCGCAGCGTCGCTTGCCCATTTCACCAGAGCCAAGTCTCGTTTAGGTGAGAAATTGGTAATGTGAGAACTTTGTAAGAAAGTCCACTCACTCGATCGCACTTGAATTTGTTGATGTGCAAATCGTGTCGTGCAGCGTGTGAGACTTTTATCGCCAAAAACCAGACAGTCGCCCGGTCGGTGAATGGCTGTGCTTATTTGAGGCTTATTCCTTCGCCAATGGGTTTTTGCGGTATATTTTTGCGCGTGTCTGTTTTGATCAGCATGCGAGCCGAGTGTCATCAGCCATTCCCACATGGGGGGGGGGGAGGGGGTGCGGGTGGTGAGGGGTTGGTTGGTGGGGGGCTGTGTAGGGGATGGAGGTGGGGGCCTGTATAACGGGCGGGTATTCTACGCACGGCATGTGTCCCCATGCAAGCGGGCAAGGGGAGAGGTCACCCAAGCAGACTGGGGCATCGACGGGAGATTAAAAAATAAATATTTCAGTGACTACGGGGAGAGAGCCGCGACTATGGAATGAGAACGTATGAAATTTTCAGAAAGTGTAAAATGGAATGCGAGCTTGGGTTTGCTAAATAAGGTTACACAGGAACGGTGAAGTTGTAAGGAAGTCAAATCTCGTTTTCGCCACAGATGATTGCTTACTTAAAGTTTCCATTTATAAGGGAGATTAAATTATAGTTGGTTGCAGACGCTGCGCCCCCCCCCCCCCACTTCCCCATCAAGATAAAAGCGTCAATGAAACCTGGCAAAGCGAAATGAGAGTTTGCAATAGACAGGCTTCTGCGAGTGATTTTTCGAATTCGCTGGTTTTTCCCTAGCATAGTCGAGTGGTGAATGAAATGACGTGTCATGCGGATTCTCAAGTGCGCTTTGACGTGACGCGTCTACGAGTGAGGCAGGGGGAAAACTAAAACCTCGTCTGTCATCGTCATCATCATCAGCAGCAGCAGCAGCTGTGGCCTAGCCACTGCAGGATAAAGGCCACCCGTGTTGTTGCCATCCCCGCACAGTCCCGTTTTAGGTGTTGTTAATCATGATTGTGCGGTGTTAGGGTGACCAGCGTTGAAGGGAAATTGAGACGGAGCCAGGTACGTCGGGCTCAATTTTGTCTGAAATGACCTGGGGAGTGTGGGAATTATGCTGGAGGACGCCCTTGGCTTGGCGTTGAATGAGAAAGATTGGGACGAACTTCATCAGTGATCGGTTAAAATGATGAAAGACTGCACCGTTATAGCAAACGCTGCATTTGGAGCCGGCCCACTCAGGCGGGGAGGAACGACGCTCGCCATACAATTACTGCCGCGCTGCTGAAGAGCGTGTTTCGTCTTTGACGATAACGAATCGATTATAAATACGCGAGTGCCATCGCTAATTCGCGGGCGCATATCCCCGCTCGCCCCTCTCAACCTTGTCACCTCTCTCGCCCTCCTCCGCCCCTGCCCCCTTCCTCCTCTTCCTCCGCACGCACGCAGGCGCTCGTGCGGGAGCTGGACCTGGAGAGGGAACGGCGCTGGAAGGCGGAACAGGCGACCCGCGAGCTGGCGGAACGCCTGCGAGGTCTGCAAGCGCAGGCCGGGCAGGAGCGGGAGCTGCATGGAACGGCGCTACACGTCACCAACAGGTAAAAGCAGCTGCCCCGAGTCGCTGGGAGAGGACAGGAGCGCAGGGCGCGCGGGGGGAAGGAGCGGATGCTTTGAAGATGCAGGTAGAGGTGGCGAGCGCAGGGAGGGGAGGCAGCAACAGCAGCAGCTGCAGAAGCAGCTGGGGGGGGGAGGGTCAAGGGTGAACGGCGGAGTCTCGGTTTGCATTACAACACGGGTTCTCAACCCGGGTCCTCGGGGGATCCACGCTGTCGATCCTCCCTGCGTGTCGGCCAGCGTTCTCAATTGATGTGTAAATAAGATGTCTTTTCACTTGCGCAAGTTGAGCGGCGGCGTGCGCGGGCGTTCCGCCGGGCGAATGGGGAACGGTGAGGGTGGGGGGGGGCTCGTGCCGTCCCCGAAGATTGAGGGACGCACGTTCTCGTGTTGGTTAATGCGGAACGGCTGTTGTTCCGCAGCGCGCTTGATGTCTTGCCCCGTTTATTTTTATTTCCCCTGCAAATTGAATTGCCTCCCCGTTCGCAATTGAGGTGCTGTGTCACCGTCGACGTGGCTGATGATTAAGGGCCAACAATTCACTCTGGGACATCAGAGCTGATGGGGGGGGGGGGTGGGGATACAGAAGAAACATTCACACGAGAGCATATTCGGCCGAATATTGAGTTCGTGGTTTTTCATGAATATCGCCGAGTTTGACTGGTACAGAAAACTCCCAGGTCGGTGCTACCCTCATGCGTCACGGCCGCGCGGATTTTTGCGGTCGTGCCGTACAGCTCTCCGACGGCGTTTTCGGGTTGTGCCCGCGTTTCTGTTTGCTACGATGCGACTCCACCTGTCACTCCACGTGCCCGAATTAAATTTCCCCGAAGAGACGCTGTGGCACGCGTAAGCTTAAACATCGGACGCCGCGCCCCAACACCGCGCGGTGCGGCCAGAAAAAAAAAAACACGGCGTAGAGCCACTTGCTGACACCGCCGCCGCTGTTGCTGCTGTGCGTTGGTAGACTCCAGCAGGGCTTGCTGAAGGAGCGCGAGGAGAAGGAGAAACTGCGAGCCTCGCTGGCGGAGCTGCAGAGAAGAGCGGAGAGCTCGGCGCAGGAGGCGGCCGCTGCCCGGCAGGCTGACCAGCGTCAACAGAAGCGGCTCCGCTCGCTCGAGCAGAACCTGGAGGGGCTGCAGGCCCAGAGGCTTCAGCAGCAGACGGCCGAGGTGCGGGAGCGAGAGAGCGCTTTGGTGCCGGCCCGCGTCGTGTTTTTAGAGTTTATTTTCTTGAACCGGATGACAACGCCAGAGACCAGGGGATAAAGTGTCATCTTCTTGGTTCTTTCGGTAAAGTCACGTAGAAGGGAAGTAATAAAATAATAAAAATAGAACATAATAAAATACAATTCTCACGACGTTTCGGCCACAACGCAAGCAGTCGTCCTCAACGTTGTGGCCAAAAAGTCGTGAGAATTATTTTATTATGTTTTCATTTTTATTATTTTATTACTTCCCTTCTACGTGACTTTACCGAAAGAACCAATAAGATGAATCCCTGCAGTCACGAAAGCTTTAAATCGAAATATAAAGTGTCATCTCACAAGAGGGACCCTGGGTCACCAAAATTAGAAAAAAATTTAAATTAATAAAGTACAGCGCTGGCGTCAAACAGAAATCTGAGTGAAAACACTGCCGCTTGAGGAATCGACAATATTGCCCAACGCATTCATCAATGTTAAAACAAAGCTAAATTTTTAATTCCCTGCAGCCTGTTTAGCGTTGCAGATGATAATGCACAGAATGGCCCAGCTGTTCTGTTTTCCACAGGCCACCTCAAAGCACTGTTTGTTTGTGAAGCTGTAAAAATGAGTCAACACATCCACTTGCTCCACTGCCTCCGACAGGCTATCTCGTAGCTTTGTCGGTGGTTCGTGCAGGACACCCACGCGGTACTTTATGGAATTCCAGCGAGGGACAGGAAAAGGAACGCTTGGATTAGAGAACGCACACAAGTCAGAGACGTTGCATTGACCGTTACGAAAAGCTAACCTGACTTGGGCATGACGCGTCGCCGGAAAGGCACGGTGACCGGTGGGCGAAACTAATGACGGGAGTGGCAGCCAAAAGTGGCAATGCGCCATGAAATTACGTCGTGTGCTCCGGAGCCAAATCGACTGTTGTGTCGCGAGACCGCGAAGAACGTCGGCGGTTCGGGAGTTGTTTTGATCCACCGGTAAGACAGGTCATGGATGTCGATGAGGACGATGATGACGACGACTAGAGACGATGAAGTGTCCAGCCCCCCCCCCCCCCCCCCCGCAGCTGAAGAAGACGCAGGCGGCGGAGATGCGGGCGCTGGCGGTGCAGAGGGAGGCGGAGCTGCTGCGCGCGTCGCAGCGCCAGCAGCAGGACAAGGTGCAGCAGCTGCAGGAGCTTCTGGCGGCGCGCGAGCAAGACCACCGGTTAGTGGCTCCGGGGGGGGGGGCACGCTGCGGCGCGGGTTTGACGCAGGATGCTGGCATTTGGGGGCGGAAAGAATGCGGCACAGGGTGTGTGGCACGGGAGCGGCACAGGATGTGTGGCATGGAAGCGGCACACGAGGGGGGGGGAGCGACATGGTTATAGCACAGGAGGGGTGGCAAGGGGGGGCGGCAAAGAGGGTGGCATAGGGAGGACGGCACTGGAGGGTGGCACGGGGTGTAGCACGGGGGGGGGGGGGGGGGCGGTACACGGGGGGGGATACAGGGGAGTGGCACGGGGGGGGGGGGTGGTACACGGTGGGGACAGGGGGGACAGGGGGGACAGGGGAGCGCCACGGGAGCAAACTCGCCATCACACCCACCACAATAATCTTGATTGGCAGTGCTGTCCGATGCAGTTTTGGTTATTGCTACATTCACAAGATACATTTTAAATGACAACGGCGAGACAAAGGAGGAGAGCGATGCGAGCTCGTTAACCCTTTCCCACTCCAATGTCGCACGTGTAAGTCATCTGTCCTTATAAAATAAAATAATTTTATCGGTACATCTTCAGGCCGGGAGACCGACCTACTGAGGCTCCCACAAGGCCATGCGAGAGGCGTGTGGCACACTTTGGCGCCAGCTTTCATAGAGCAGCGGTCGTGTCGCTGCAGTTCTCTGCGGTGAGTACATCGTCTTTAAAAACAAACGGCACTACGTATCTCTAAATACAATTTACAAACGACGTTGAACGGGAACCCACCCTGCAACTTTCAGACGTCTCAGAACGGGAAAGGGTTAAGTGCATTGTATGCTGTGGTGCGGTTGTGTGCATGGAATAACTATGCAACGCATTTCTTTCACGATAAGACGAAAGATAAACTTAATTAGGAGAATAGATGCAAGGCCATTAGTCTAGTCTTGCAGACTAATGGACAAAGTCAGCTGTGCACAGATAGGCAGGGGGTGGGGTGTTCCAGACTGCATGGCGATGGAGCGACCTGCCATGATCAAATCACCCCGAATGCGCCCACCCAATCTCAACGGATCTCAGACGCCAAGCAGAATTTTTGATTCGTGCTTGGATTGGATTGGTGGCCCCCATACGTAGGGGCGCCGCTGGTGACGAGAAGTTAACTACCTCTCCTGGTGTACAGGTTCGATCCTGACGCTGACGCATGTTCTCCCCGTGGTTGCGTGAACATTTTCTCCGGGTCCTCCGGTTTTTACGTTTTTTCCGGCCACGTTTAGAAACATGAGTTTAGAGTATTCGGCTGCTCTCGGTTTCCACGAGATAAGTCACTTTGTTGAGCTATCATTTGTGGACAGGTGGCTTCTGAAAATGAGCTTCATAGCTCAGTGGGCCTTACCTGGTATAAATCAACATTTTCGTTGACATATTCTTGGTTCTTTCGGTAAAGTCACGTAGAAGGGAAATAATAAAATAATAAAAATAAAACATAATAAATAATTCTCACGACGTTTCGGCCACAATGCAAGCAGCCGTCCTCAGGTGAAGAAACAGAGCTGTCGGAAAGACAGCGTCCTAAATTAGGACGCTAATTAATTTTATTTTATTATTTCCCTTCTACGTGACTTTACCGAAAGAACCAAGAATACGAATCCCTGCAGTCACGAAAGCCTTAAATAGAAATTTCCGTTTACGTTATAAAGTAGGCGTTGTAGGCTGCTGCTGAGTTACGTTTTGAGCAGAGGGCAGTTCAGCAAAATTAATGATTGTACATTACTCGCTTGCTCCCACGTCTACGCTTCCCCACCTTCGCCAACCTGCACTGAGCAGCATGGTGCAGGATGGTTAAACCGTCCTACACTGACCCGCACGGCGTGGTTCGGCCCTCATCCGGCAGCGGATCGACAAACCGTGCCGCGCGCATGCACGCGGTCACCATTGTTGGGAGACGCAAGCAAAACGGGGTACCTCGCACGGAACGAGCCCATTGCCATGGCACGGCTTGGTGGTCGTGCAATTTCTCTCGCGCAAATTCCACATGTATGAGCTGACGGCCTCTTAACCATTTCCCGTTGCCGATGATGTACATGTAACCCACTCTGTCATCAATTTAGATTTGAAGTTTTCGTGACTGCAGGGATCCAAACTCTTTGGTTCTTTCGGTAAAGTCACGTAGGTAGAAAATATAATAAATTAAATCACGACGTTTCGGGCGCAACACAAGTGGGCCCACTTCAACAGTTGTTTCTTGCTGTGGTTGTCCCCCACCTGATGACAGATGCTTGTGTTGCGCCCGAAACGTCGTGATTTATTTTAATTTATACCTACGTGACTTTACCGAAAGAACCAAAGAGTACACTCCGTCATCGTTGACGGGAAAGGGGATCATAGAGTTGCGGTCGTATCGCTACGGTTCTCTGCGGCGAGAGTACAATGTCTTCAAAAACAACGGCGCTACGTCTCTCTGAATAAAATTAGTGCTGAGCCGCTCGTGCGTTCCGAGATTCAGCAGCGAACGGGGAACTGCAACTTGCAGGCGATCTCGGAAACGGGGAAAGGTTTAAGAATACTGCTGGGACCCCCCCCCCCCCCCAACTCGTGAACGTGGATGGCATGGTGAAAGCGCCGAGTCGTGATTCAAGTGCCTCCTGCCCGACCCCGCTTCCATTTCTCTGGCTGATTTTCAGTCACTGTCTGGAGATACCTATTAAAATATCAGTGAAAAAATAATTATCGTAATTTTGCGACTGCTCAGCTTATTCAAATAAGAATGAAAAATGCTTTTGCCGATGCTAAAATATGTCATTGGGAGCGTGCGCGAATGCGATGTGGCCTGTGCAAAGAAAGAATAAATAAATCACGAAATCTAGCAACTTACAATGGCAGCTTTATTCTGTTCCTTTTTGCCCCCTGATAACGCTGCTGAAATCATCGTGCTCCGCTGTTTTCAATTTAAAACCCAATATCGGCAGCAGCGGCCCTGCATGGAGAGTGGCCCAGAGCTTGTCCGTGCGATATTGCACATCCCAAGGTGCCTGCATAAACCTTGCAGGATAACACACGCTTCTTTGCAGCGGGGCGTACATTCCCTATCTTGTTCGAGCCCGTGAGCCCATGTGAATGGGTGGATGTCACATCCTGCTGGTGCAATTAAAATGATGACCCTGCCGGCAGTTCGAGGTGTGCATTCAACTTCAGACTTAACCGTTATAGACGCCGTCGCCGTTTGTTGCTGCTGTCACGCTCTGTCTCAGCTCACCGTATCGCTGGTAACCACCAGCGCTGTCTTGTGAACCACATCTCCAGATGTGGCCAGCTGGCTCGGAGGTCAGTGGTTGGTTGCTTGACATTTTGTCCGTGCGAACTTGGGGGAATTTCTTACGCAGTTGCCCACAGAACACACCGAGCGGCCAACGGCGCTGAGATCCTGGCGTCGAATTCAGGATTCGGCCAACCGCGATTTTAAACTGGATTCTCAAACGTCGCAAGACGGTAGCTCGGGGTCATTCATCAATGACTGTTCACGAAAACCATACTCGATTTTGCGAAATAATAGTTCTGCGAATGAGAAATATCTATTCGAGCCTCATGTGACAATCTATTGGCAGGGTTTTGCAAAGCGTACGTCTTTACCGTGCAAATGATAAAATGGCAAATTGGGGATTTTTCAGAAGTCTCGTTTAAATATCTCTTCAGTAGGTCGTTGATCGTCCCACTAACATCTGCGTGAAATAATCCCGATGGTATTAAATTGAGTTTTCATTTAATGTTGAAAAAAATCTAACTCTGGGTATTTAAAATAAAATCGAGGCTTCACTTCCATGCAATACACATCGCTGCAGCAGGGCGCGTGAGAATGTGCAGCACTTGGACGATAATTCTAGATTTGAAGCTTTCGTGACTGCAAGGATTCATACTCAGCAAATCTTGATGCAGCAAATCTGGCTGTGACGGTCCCACCTGATGACGGAGACTTGTGTTGCCTCCGAAACGTCGTGATTTTTATTATTTTATTTTTTATTAATTTTAATTTCATTTTTTACCTACGTGACTTTACCGAAAAATACTTGGACAATAGGCCACTTAAAGGGATCTCAGGAATTGTTCCGTGATATCGCCCTCTGCGGGCAATTTCTCTAACACAGAGTGATGGCTCACAGCTCTGCAAGAGTTACAAATGCGCATGTAGCCTTGTTGCATGTTGACATGAGCACGTCATCATCGTCAGGCATGATCTGTCCACCGATTAGAATCAGAATCGGAATATATATTGAAATGGAGGAATTCGATTACCTATAAAGGTATGTCCAGTCGTTTCACAGATGTCCAGTATCACAGAGTGAAGACAGCCGTCCCACGCCGTTGCCATATCTCACGTTCTTGGCCGACATCTCACCGCCACTTCGTCTGTCGCCCTTCAGAAAAGCGATAGAGAGCCGCGTGCCACTCGACGGTCCGGAGTTCAAGCAGGCGTTGGACCGCGAGCGGGCCCGTGTGGAGGAGCGGCACGCGGAGACGCTGCGTGTCCACCAGGACAAAGTGGAGGCCCTCACGCTGCAGTACGCCCATCTGGAGGATGAGTTTCGGGCAGCCTTGTCAATCGAGGCTACGCGCTATCAGGAGGTGCGTGTGTGTTCGCACGTGTGTGTGTGTACGTGGGCCTGACAGGTGAGCGGTAGTGTAGCGGTTAGCGTTCTGTGATATGAACCCAGGGACCCGAGTTCGATTCCCACTCATGGACCCCAGTGACGATTATATCTGAACCAGTCCTAGGCCTCCCCGAGGTCGACTCGGCCTCAAATAAGTACCTAGTACGGTGTGTAAACATCGCCGCTCAAGAGATAACGGAGGGCTGGCATGGTGCTGGCCACCCATCCCCTCGTGTGCCTAGCCGGCATTTTAGATGCTCGCTAACAGCACTTGCCCCAACAGTCTGTTAAGGCTTTACGAGGGATTTAGTTGGCCACTGCCAACAGTGGGAGCCACCCACGATGGCATACGCTTGAGATGCAGCACTTACGGATGCTCTGTTAGCCTAAACGGGATATTAACATAACATTTTCACATAATTTACATACATTGTAGAGTCATGCACACACACAGTTTGCTGTATGCTTATGACCAAATTACCCATAATGCACGTGATTTAGTTGAATCTCGGAAGCTAAGCAGGCTTTGAGCCTGGATAGTGCCTTGAATGGATGCCCGCCATGCATGAAACAGGTGTTGCACGCTGCTACAGGGCTGCATTTCCAGCAGTGGGCAGTGTGGCAATGACCACTGTGATACCGTAATGTGCTCCAGTCCAATGTTTACGTTCCCCACCTTCATCGACCCGCACTGTGACCAGTGTGGTGAAGTATGTCCAAGTCACCCCTGTGACCCGCACGGTATGGCGACGCTCTCATCCGGCAGTGGATTGACAAAAGAGCTTTAGGTGTTCGTGTTTTTTTTATTTTCCCAAGTAAGGCCCACTGAGCTACGTAGCTCTATTTAAGAAACCACCTGTCCACAAATGACAGCTCAAAAAAGTGGCTTATTACATGACAATTGATTGCAGCCAATTACTATTTTTAATGCACGTTTCTAAGTGGTGAGGGGGAAACCGGAGGTCCCGGAGAAAAATCCAAAAGATCACGGTGAGAGAGGCACGCACACTCCAAATATAAAGGCGTCTCAGGGTCGGGATCGAACCTGCAACCTCCTGTATACCGGAAGAGGTCGTGAACATCTCGCCACCGTGGCACCCAGGTGTACTGCAAGCATAAGCGTGGATCTTTTATCGATGACCGTGCCTGGCAGCTAACCCCAACGTGCGTGTGCTTCACTGGCCTGGGCACGTTAATTAGCGAAGAGAATCGAGGTGACGCGGCCAACGTGACTCTGGGCGGCAGGTGAGGCTGGCGTTCGATCGCGCGGCCGAGGAGCTGGCGCAGCAGACGGCGGAGCTGGCGGCGACGCGCGACAAGGAGCGGCGTTCCGCCACGCTCGTGCGGGAGCTCACGGTCATGGTCAAGGAGCAGAAGGGGCGGCTGTCGGAGCTCGCCAGGGCAAGGCAGGAGGCGGGTGCGCTCATCAAGGTGCGTGAGCGAAGGGATCGTGATGACGCGCACCCACCACGGGTTGGTCCGCGGAACGCTTGCGCCGGGCGCGCGCACAGTAAGTGGTGCGTCCGTAGTGCCACGGTGCGTTCATTGTTGGATACACCAGAAGGCTTCATTGTGTGAGGAATTCAGAACCTGAATATTTATTTGTGCTGGAGGAAGCTGATGAGCAGTTCCACCGCTCGGTGGCGGACGGAGACCCGGGCGTTGTTCTTGTTGTCGTTTTGGGTTGGTTGTGTGCCGATTTGCTGGATGCTCGGCAGAAAATTTGGGGGAGGTGGGCCCCTTTTGCGGTGTTTTTATTGATGCGAGAAAACATTGAGAGAGCGATCGCGTTCCTCGCACCATTCACCGTTTAATTCTTCAGCTTGTGCGTTGCACGTTGTGAAGTGTGCATTTGTACAGGGTGGTGAAAGTGTCTTGTGATCCCCATTTAATTCTCTAAAACTTAATATTGTTTTAAGTAAGGTTGAGTTAAAACAGAAATTAATATGAAAAGGAAAGAAATGCTCAGGGTCAATTCAAACCCGGGTCACCGGTTCATAGCACAATGCGCTAACCGCTTAACTACAGCTTCCCACGCTCACAGACATGCACAGACACAGACACCGACACAGACACAGACACCGACACACACACATACACCGACACAGACACCGACACACACACATACACCAACACACACACATACGCCGACACACACAGACACCGACACACACACACATACACCGACACACACACATACACCGACACACACAGACACCGACACACACACACATACACCGACACACACACATACACCGACACACACAGACACCGACACACACACATACACCGACACACACACACACACCGACACACACACACAGACACCGACACACAACAACAACAACCGCCATTCGCCACTAAGTGGCGGTGACATCACCACGACGCTTGTGCCAGGCCATGTGCACCTTGAGGCCACGTGAAGTGTCGAACGCCCGCTGGCAGGAGGTCACGGGGCAGACCCAGGTGCCACGGGTCGACTGACCGACACACACACACAAACACCGACACACACACATACACCGACACACACACATACACCGACACACACACATACACCGACACACACACAGACACCGACACACACACACACACACACCGACACACACACATACGCCGACACACACACACACTGACACACACACAGACACACACCGGCTGGCGCACTCAGCGAGGAGCTCACCATGAAGCCACCACCATCCCCGGTCAATCGTCGCGCAAAGAGAAGCAGCCACGACGTCTTTGCAGCGAGCAGGCAGAAGTGCGCAGCCGATGGGCGACGATGCGCATTGGAAAACGATAAATCATTCTGTAAAGCGTTGCGGGGGAGGGCGTTCTTGGTGTGGGTGCTGGCAAACGCGAGTGCTGGATGATTTCGCTAATGGAAGTGGATTTTTTAGTTTTCTATTGTTTTCTTTCATTTTTTTTATTTTCGCCTTCGTTTTGAAATTACGCGTCACCTTTGCTTACGGGCGTCGTGTCACGAAGGAAAGAAAAAAAAATTCCACTCGCGACCCGCGCAGGTAGCAGCACGTACACACCTTGTGCGAGATAATGGCTCCGGACGATGACGTCAGATCTATTACTGTTGGTGCCCTGTCAATTGGCAATAATCCGCACTCACTTGCCGTGATTTTGAGCTGTTTCTCTCATTCCAATCAGACTGAGCTGTGGCCGTCCATTCATTGCACAATCAGTTGCCGAGTTTTCATTCGCAGGCTCCCGGCGGTGCCGACTCGGCGCACTGAGACACTCGGAAGTGAAATCTTTAAATTCTACTGCATTGCTCGGTAGACTGCTGTGACTACCCAGACTTTTTGTTAAGACCAGCAGTATTTTTTAAAACTCTTTTGTGAATGTCCAAGACTTACATTTTCACTTATTCTTCCCACACCCCCTCACCCTTAAACATTTCATAGGTCAACAGACTGGGCAATTTTCATTTATCGCATTGATGCAAACAGCACGTAGCCCCGCGCCTTGGTAATGGCCAACGATTTTTTTTTTTTAAATTACGGAGGTTGTAAAATACTGCGTACGATGTCTCTGTTTGCGTGCGCCAGCCCGTTCGTGTCCCAGTTGACAAAAGTACAGGAATGGGAAGGGAAAAAAAAACACCAAATTTAGGTGAGCGCGCGCACACCTGTAATCCGCAGCCGGTGAAATTGGATCCCCACCCACTCCCCCCCGCGGCTTGCGATCAGCGCCGCGCTCCGCGACCCGCAGGTCACGCGTTCAAATCGCCAGCTCGCACGTCCTCTGTTGATGTTGTTAGCGTAATTACATTGTTTTTTTTATTTACCCGGCTAGCCGCAGCAATAGTCGGTGGGAGGAGGAGGGGGGATCCCTGGTCTATTTCATAGCTGAAAGTCTGGAAAGCTGCAAAATGCGTTACAAATATACGTATGAAAAAAATAAGTCATCCTTTGTTGCGTGCATATACATAATGTATTACCGTGTGTAGTATGCTGTGTATATATGTTTTATTATACGGACCAACCAAAACTAAAATCACTAACTCTACATATTTCGTGTTGTGTTGCACTGTGTTGTAGTTATATTTGTCGGTCAGTCCGATGGGTTGCCTCGATGGTACATCAGCTCCCCCATCCCCCGCCATGTAGTACTACCCCGCTACGGACGGAGCGTCAACTCGACCCTTTCAACCTTCAGCCCGGAAACTTTTCTAAATTCTCACCCAATCAATCGCGGCTTGCGTCTCCCGACTTTCAATCTGCCCGCCCACGGTCACTCTGGCCGTGCCGTGCGTCACGCAGCGGCAGGCGCAGGCGCTGGACGGGGCGGCGGAGGAGGACAAGCGGAGGACGGTGCAGCTGGAGTTGCTACGCAAGGAGAAGTCGCACCTCGTGTCACAACTCAAGGCGCTGGAGTCTGTGGCGGACGGACTGCGGAGCGAGCGGCACGCCTGGGGTCATGAGCTGGCGCAGCAAGGTTCGGGCCATGTGAAACTCTAAACTAAACTATTAAATTTCGATTTAAAGCTTTCGTGACTGCAAGGATTCATCTTCTTGGTTCTTTCGGTAAAGTCACGTAGAAGGGAAATAATAAAATAATCAAAATAAAACATAATAAAATAATTCTCACGACGTTTCGGCCACAACGCAAGCAGCCGTCCTCAGGTGAAGAACAGGTCTGTCGGGGAGACAGCGTCTTCACCTGAGGACGGCTGCTTGTGTTGTGGCCGAAACGTCCTGAGAATTATTTTGTTATGTTTTGTTTTATTATTTTATTACTTCCATTATACGTGACTTTACCGAAAGAACCAAGAAGATGAAAATATCTAATTTCGATTTCTTTTCACAGATATTGCGATTTGATTTGCGATTAAATTTTTTAAAAGTCAAGCTTCAGGTCAATATTCACTGTGTAATAGATTTAAAACATGTGATGGAGCATTACCACATGATACCATCAAACTATGAACTGCTCTATATATTCTAATGCAAGGATGAGAGCTTTCAAGATATGAATTGCTTCCAACATATATTTATTAAAATGTTTTAATTGAAATAGAACAATCACACACACAACAATTGTTAAGTTAAATAAATAAAGTTACAATAACACAAAATAAAACAATTCCAATAAGAAAGTAATTGGACTTTTCAAATCGCAAAAAATCGCAGCCATCACGATTAGCTAATCGCATTGTTTCAAATTGCGATTTCGATTTGAAATCGATTCATCGTTCAGCCCTGCTTCATAGGCGCGCACTAACAGCACATGCCCCAACAGCCTGCAGGGCAAGCTTTCGTGACTGCAGGGATTCATCTTCTTGGTTCTTTCGGTAAAGTCACGTAGAAGGGAAATAATAAAAATAAGAATTTTTTTATTTTATTATGTTTTATTATTTTATTATTTCCCTTCTATGTGACTTTACCGAAAGAACCAAGAAGATAAACTATTAAACTGAACTATTTCAGGTAAGGCCCACTGAGCCTATACAGCCCATTTTCAGAAGTGACCTGGCTACAAAATGATAGCTCAACAATGTGGCCCATTGTGTGGAAAATTAGACTCTAAACGCATGTTTATAAATGTGGAGCGAAAAACCGGATGACCTGGAGAAAAATACACACAATCACGGGGAGAACATCCCAACTCCAAATATACAGGCATCAGGGTCGGGATCAAACCCACGACCTCCTGTATACCAGGCGAGGTGGTTAACATCTCGTCGCCATGTTGACACCGCTTGCCAAGCCCCCCCCGGTGCCGATCGGGCTGTGTGGAAACGGCAGATGCGTCTTGTCATCTGGCAAGCCCAGCAGCGTGTGTTTAACATGCCTCATGTCTGCTGATGAGGCTCTGAAAGTCGCTTTGTTTTGAAAAATTATTCAGTGGGCTATGGGAAGGATGCGTCGCTGTAAGGGGGTTTGGCGGCTGGTGGTCGAGACTAACGGGGAGCGATGATAAAATCGGCACGTGTACAAATCGCTGTATGGACTACCGCACCGCGAGACCTTGGAGAACTGGCGACGGCTTGGGTGGGGGGGGGGGGCGGGACACCTTCAACCAGAACTCAGTCGATCAAAGATGATGCTGATGACGACGACGACGACGATGATGATTACATTGACCACGTCTGTTTGTTGTTGTTGAATGTTCCAGGAGCGGCGCTCTCCCAGGACCGCGGGCGGATGGAGGCGAGGATTGAGTCGCTCCAGGCCGAGGCGGATTCTCTGCGCAAGCAAGCGGAGCGCGACGCGGACGCCCTCAAGATTAAGACCAAGATCCTGGACGACCAGACGGAGACGATCCGCAAGCTCAAGGAGGCAAGGCCCCCCACCCGGCCCCCCCCCCCCCCATCCTGGGTAGAGGCCCCAAATCTGAGCCGCTAGCGGTTGTCGTTCCGTCGCTTATATGGGACTATCGTTTTTAATGGCCAAAGGAAGGATAATAACACACTGTAACATGATAACAAATGTAACGTTACTAGCTTTAAAAGGTCAGAGTCTCTACTCGTTCGCCATCGTTGTCAACGCGTGCCTGGAATCTTCTCCAGGTGGTCTCCAGAGCCCGGAGGAGGGTACATTTCTCGTGGTATTGCAAATTCTCAGAAGTGTTCACATTTTTTTGAAGCGCCCCCCTGTATAAGCTCCTACACGAGATGACGAAAGAGAGTTTGATGAGAGACGATCGCGGTGAGAGATATTAATGTGTTTATGTTAATCAACTCTTTTTTTTTTCTGTTGTCATATGTATTCAAGCTGATATTTAGTTCACCTGTTTTTTTTTCATTTCGTGAATCGTGGAGACGCCTTGAGCCGCTTGGGGGGGGGGGGCCCTAAGGCTTCGATTAGCACCCCCACCACTGGATGTTAGTCGCAGCCTTTTGTCAAATTTAGTGCAGATTTCAATTACTGTAATTGTAGCGGGGTGTGCATGACGTATTGGGGTCTAAAACACTCTTTGCAGGCCCAATGAAAGCCGGTTTTAATTTATCTGTAATTTATCTCCTAATCCTGTGTGCCGGCAGTGCCAATTGCAGAGACGCTGCTCGGTATTTTATCAGAACTGACACCTTATATGTAGATAATTATTTCATGGTGAAAAAAGACTACGTGTGTGCACGTGTGTGCACGTGTGGCAGGGTAGCGGTTAGCGCGCTGCGCTACGAACCCGGCGACCCGGGTTCGATTCCCACTCACAGCCAACACCAGTGATGATTATCTGAACCGGTCCTGGGCTTCCGCTTGGTCGACTCATCCTCAAATGAGTACCTAGTGCGGTGTGTAGACATCACCACTGGATAGACAAAGGCGGCCGGGTGTGGTGTTGGCTGCTTACCCCCCTCGTGTGCTGTGCCGGCCTTCATAGGTGCTCACAACAGCACTTGCTTGTTACAGGCTATACGTGGGATCTTTGTTTTTGTGCGATCGCTAGAATCACCGCTCTTCATTTTATTCCCATTTTATTAAAACACCCTCATGATCTAAACGGGCCTGGGTAACGTATTGGCTGGTGTCAGGCGGTGTATAAATAAAGGTTCATTTAACCCTTTCCTGTTCCGATGATATATGTGTACGTCATTGAAACGTAATCCAAAAAAATCTCTAGCATTATTGGTACCGCAGCTCCCACAAGGCCATGCGGGAGGACGTGTGGCACAGTTTGGCTCCAGCTGTCATACAATGCAGTCGTGCCGCTACGGTTCTCTGCGGTGAGTGCAGTGTCTTCAAAAACATCGGCGCTACGCCTCTAAATAACACGTTCCTTTGGAGTGGGCAGGTAGGAACTTGGTTGGACAGCGCATTCGTGCACGACAGAAAGCTCGCGGTCACGTGACGCACTTCAACCAATCCAGGGGCGTACTACATGTTTGGGAGGGGCTATGCACGACAGACAAATAATCCCTGGTGGGCAGTGTTGAACTGTTGTTCCTAGCTGTAAAATTAACGTTGAAACGCTCACGCGTTGCGATATTCAGGCGGTGAACAGGACCCACGCTGCAATCTTGCAGACATCTCGGAAAGGGTTAATTTCTCCTCGCATTGCGCTGTCTCGGGAAAATATGAGCGCAGGCTTTTGATGGCATCATTCGTCATTAGGCGCCGTGTTTCCTGAAGCACAAGGTTAAACGTTTTATCGCAGCTTCGTTAATTTTAAACTGTACACTCGCATCCATACCTGCCAGTTGTACTGCTTTGCATTTGAAACAATGCACTACAATGTGTCTGTTATTTAAGATATACTGTATATGGTCGTGAATTTATACAGTGCTGACAGAAGGGCCTCTGCTCGAGAAAACTCTGGGGGGGAGCCCCTTTTTAGGGGGATTTTTTTAATTTGTTTTATTATTTATTCTGCATTGGCCAGACTTCTGAGTGCGAGTTGAGAGTAACCACACGCAGCCTTATAATAGATAAACTGTGGTGTTACCCATTTATACTGCTGGGTGAACAGAGGTGAGGGGTGATTAAATGAACCTGCATTCTTGGTTCTTTAGCTAAAGTCACGTAGAAGGGAAATAATGAAATAATAAAATACAACATTATAAAATAATTTTCACGACGTTTCGGCCACAACGCAAGCAGCCGTCCTCAGGTGAAGAACAGGTCTATCGGGAAGACAGCGTCTGAATGAAACGTCGTGAGAATTATTTAATTATGTTTTATTTTTATTATTTTATTATTTCCCTTCTACGTGACTTTACCGAAAGAACCAAGAAGATGAATCCCTGCAGTCACGAAAGCTTTAAATCGAAATTTAAATGAACCTGCACCACTATTTTGGAAGGTCGAACCGGCAAACCTCTGGATCGCAAGCAAGGTGCGCTCACCATTTCACCGCTGTGGCAGCATGATCACAAAACTGGCGATAATCAGTCGGCAGTAATCGTCTGTCGTTGTGATAGCAATGCGTGGATAAACAACGCTTGAAAAACGCTTTCATGCTTTCTAAAGCCTTCGCTCAAATGAAAAACCAAGTGACTTTTCTGAAACTGGAATAGCCAGCATTTAAAATATAAGGCAAAATGTAGAATCGCGCGATTGCCTCGGCTAGAGCTGATCCCCTCGTCGCTTCAGCCGTGTGCCGTGACAGGGCGCTGCAAGATCCGACCGTGTCTGTCCAGTGCTCGCCAAGCTGCGTTGGCTGCTGAACGAACACGTGAGAAGGCCGCGCTCGTTGCACACAAATTGCTCGCCGCAAATGAGCCACAACGCCTCGCTGATCTCGTCACGGAGCGTAAACCACCACGCTAACTACGCTCATCCTCGCAGCAGCGGATTTTGACTGGCCATCGAACAAAGACGGTCACCGCATCGCACGGCGCTTTCGGATGCGCTTCTGCGGCCGTCTGGAAAGCTCTTCCTTCTGATATTAGGAAGCCACTGCAGCTATGCACTTTGATATCATCGAGCTTGACAAACTGCATTTTTGTGTTCAGTTTGTTGTTCTTCCCCCGCACCTCCGATTGGCACGGTTGGGTGCATACGCTGCGAAAGAAGTTCAACACACGTGCATACATACACACATCCGTACATACGTTGCGACAGCCTCTGGGTCTCTCTCTGCTCGGCGCGCCGCCCCTGCGACAGCCGCGACGCTGCACTCGTCGTGAGCATGAAAGACACGGCATCTGGTGCGTAATGGTGGCGCGGCGCGTACCAGGAGATAAAAGCAGCCCCCCCCCCACTCCACTCGAACCTGCTGGGAGCTCATCATCCCCTCCCGGTGCCCAGTTGTCTTTCTGCTGTGCTAATTCGTTTGGAATTGCATGACAGTGAAACGTGATATTTTTTTAATTCTCAGAGCTGGGATTTTATCTATATTAATTGCAAAGAGAAATTGCATGTGAAGGCGAGGGGGGGGGGAGTTTTATCGTGCAGTCATTAGTGATGTGCCTGACGTCGTTAGCTCACTGCACTTGAGAGCCTCGGTTAATCACCGGTGGCTGAAAACGTGGAATCGTACACAGGATCTTAGCGATGCCAACTCAGCATTGTGACCTCTGAGCCACCAGGCCTACGCCATGTCGCTTTAATTAGTAGGGGTAACAGCTCGGGGAGGCCTTCCTGCAGCAGTCAGCTGATCGTGGCTGATGACTGATGTTCACAAAACCCATATTTGCCACCCGGCCACGAACAACATTGATGTTTCCTGTCAAACTGCCTGTCACATAAACCAAGCGCCAGGTCCGCCAAAACCTTCAGAACTCTCAGCGGTTCCAGCTGAGCCCTCGGACCTCTTGAGCCACCTGGCCACACTCGCAACATCGAACTTCCCGTCCAGATAGTGTCCTACCCAGCCTTGAAGAAAGGTCACCCATCGGTCGTCCGTTTTCCTCTCCCTCCGCGCTGCCCAACGCCGGCAGGGCCTGCAAGAGCGGGACGAGACGGTGCGGCGCGCGCGGGACGAGAGTCTGGCCGCCCGGCGGGAGATGGAGTCGCGTCTGGCGGAGCAGACGGCCGCCGGCCGGGAGCTGCAGGAGCGCGCCGAGCGCCTGGACGACCGCAAGGAGCAGCTGGAGCTGGAGCTGGAGGAGGCGCGCGACCGGCTGGGACGGGCCACGCTTGAGCATGAGTGAGTGAGCTGGCGAGCGCGCGGGCGGGCGGGCAGGCGGACGAGCAGGCGGGCAAGGGGGCGAGCAAGCCATCACGCGGGGGCGGTGATGGCATGTCGGAACACCCACCCCCCCTCTTCCCCCCCCCCCCCCATCGACTGGCACGCAACCCACCAGGGACCCCATTCAAGCCACAACTTCCCACCGCCCCCCCCCCACCCCCGTTCCCACACACCCCCCTTCATCAACCCCTCCATGACCCTAACAATAATTAGAGGAATTGTTCGAACACACCAATTCAGAACCGTCCTGAAGTCGCCTTGAGAATCATTGAGGATTTTTACTTGGGTTAGATGGGCGGGCGTTGTTGCTCCTGCTGTTATTACAATTGTTACACAAGCGCTTGTGTGGCGGGTAGCTTTGTATGGACGCAAGGGATTCCTCACTCAGGAAAGATGAAGAAATGACGATCTCGAGGCCTTGGAGTTGAATGTACCCTCCTCTGCATTGCCGAGGGTTCTCTGGAGAGCCCCGCGCCGGACAAGCGAATCAATTTCTGATGAAACGAGGTTCCTTGAGTCGATCAAGAAGAGAGAGATGATATCTCCTGGGACACGTTTTGCGGAAACGCGGAGGCTGCAGGGGCAGAGAAAGATGGTAACTTAAAACTAAGTTATAAACTCAACTATTTTTCAGAAGCGACCTGCCAATCACAAATGATAACTCGACGAAGTGGGCTTATCACGTGGAAATTTCGAGCAGCCAAATCCTCTCTGAGCGCGTGACGTTGATTCTAAATGTGGGGGGGAAAAAAACGGAGGACCCGGAGAAAAATCCACGCGGTCACGGGAAGGACACGCAAACTCCAAATTTCCAGGCGTCAGGGCCGGGATCAAACCCGCGACCTCCTGTATACCAGACGAGGTAGTTCACATCTCGCCACCGTGGCGCCCTCAATGCTCTGCAGAGGTCGCAAACGGGTTTTTATTCCTTACCCGTACCCGGCCGCACCTGTTGTCGCAAACGGGTACCCGTACCCGGCCGTACCCTACCCGTACCCGGCCGTGTACGGGTAGGGTACGGGTAAGGTATGGGTACGGGTACCCGATTGCGACCTCTGGGATGAAGCCATGTTGCAGGCGCCGGTGGGTTGATTCTAGGAACTTGAATTGTGAGAAGAGATAAGACGTTGGGAAATGAGTGACAAACGGTTACTCACCAGTGACTCACGACCTACCCGTACCCGGCCGCACCAGGGTCGCAAACGGGTACCGTAAGTAGCCGGGTATCGGGTAGGGTACGGGTATCGGGTACCCGATTGCGACCTCTGACTCTCTGTGCCGGGAGAGCGAGGCTGACCCAGGAGAGCTTGGATTGACGGTGCCGTTGCGTGGACATGGGGCTGCGTGCCGGACAACTCGCAAGTGCAGGTTTTTTCATCGGAGGATGCATTCCGGAATCGGGGGAAACCTTTATTTCGACAGGAGGAGGAATCCGATTTGAGCTGCAAAGCTCCTCTTTTTCACGGATGGTCCAGTAGGCGTCGGGAGTTTTCAGCGACTTACAGCAGCAGCAGCGACAACGGGGAAAAGGTGAGCAGGTCACGAAAAATAAATAAAGGCTTTCAATAAATTAATTACGCGAGTACAAATCGCACAAGTACATGCATTCCTGCCGATTTTTCCCACACATAATGCAAGCTTGGGCAAGGCAGCAACACAACAACAAGAGTCCCAGGCCACACCAAGACGACACACAGAGTCGTCCCTCGGTAACATTGCACATTAAAATGTAACTGTCGATATACGGGTAAGGATCAAAGTTGCATTTGCTAATGTGGTTGCAGTCTGCACCGTTCTGCTTTGTGCCAACAAAAGGGCACACAAATCGAAACCGCGCGAAGAGACAGCCTGCCGAGTCACGTACACACACAGCACGCACACACACAGCACGCACACACAGTACACACACAGTACACACATACACACAGCACACACTACACACAGTACACACACAGTACACACAGTACACACACAGTGCACACACAGTACACACGTACTCCACACACAGTATACACACAGCACACACTACATACAGTACACACGTACTACACACACAGTGCACACAGTACACACACAGCGCACACACAGCGCACACACAGTACACACACACACACAGAGCACACGCACAGTACACACATACTACACACACAGTACACACACAGCACGCACACACACACACTACACACAGTACACTCAAAATGTCGTCCCATGACCGACCCGCATAGCTCCGTATAGAGTGAACTCAAAACGCACGATATAGCGATTTTTTTGCGTAGAAATAGGTTGACCGCATAGACGCGAAATCGCACAAAGCGAACCGGCATGGGGCGAGGGAAACCTGTCCTGCTGAAGACGGAGCCCGGTGCCATAGGCCAGTCCATCTGGTGGTCAACTTTCGGCTGGAGGAAGGCTAAAAAGCGGAAACGGACAAGTGGTCGTTTCCCGGCGCTCCGGTTTTCTCTCGCGCGTATGAGCAGTCATCAATTGGCTCAAAAAGATCTTAAAATACAAACCCCAGTGTCACAGCAGGACCCTTCTGCAACTCAGCGTGGTACTTCCGGATAAATAAATGATTATTATCAATAGAGTGCAACGATGGATGTTGGGCACACTGCGCCCGATGCTGCCCACAACCTCAGCACGAAAGAAGTTCAACATACGTACGTAGCCCCGCAGATGCCTATAACAATCTACTAAATGCATGGCAGTGGGTCCCATCCAAGCACTACCCAGGCTCTGTCCTGCTTACCTTCCCAGGTCTGGCGAGATCGGGGAGGGGGGTGGGGTTGGTGAGGATGGGGGGTGGGGGTGCGTGTTGCGGGTGATTTGGTCATAGCGATATGAACGCTATCACGAGGAGACATTTAATTCCCACAAGCAGACGGGAGGAAAATCTGCTCGGCCCCCCCCCCCGCCCGCGCCGGATCGGCACTGCCAAACGCACGTCCGTCGGAGTTCGAAGTTCGCCGCGTTCACTGCGTCTCCTCTTCCCTCCCCCCCCCTCGCCCGTCGCGTCTGTGCCGCCGGTCGGCAGGGCGAGCAACCGCAAGTGGAGCGAGAAGGCTCAGCTGCTGTCGCGGCTCGAGGGCCAGGTGCGGCAGATGAAGGAGGGCTTCGACGCCAAGGAGGCTCGGCTCCAGCAGGAGAGGGACCAGGCGATCAAAGCGCACAAGTACGCGCGTGTGCGTGAATGCGCCTCCGTGTGTGCGTACGAGCGTGTGTGCGTGCGTGCGCCTGCGTGTGTGCGTGTGTGCGAGTGTGCGCCTGCGTGTGTGTGTGTGTGTGCGTGAGCGTATGCGTGCGTGCGCGTGCGTGTGTGCATGCATGTACGTGCGTGTGTGCGTGCCTGTGTGTGCGTGTGTGCGTGTGTGCGTGCCTGTGTGTGTGGGTTGGTACTGGGGAGCGGTGGTGTCGCGGTCGGCTCGCTGCGCCACGAACCCGGCCACCCAGGTTCGATTCCCGCTCACGGCCAACACCGGTGACGATTATTTGAACCGGTCCTGGGCCTCGCCTATATTCACACGGCCTCAAATGAGTACCTGGTGCAGTAAACATCGCCACTGGGAAGACAAAGGTGGTCGGGCGTGATGCTGGCCACCCACCCCCCCCCCCTTCGTGTGCCATGCTGGCCTTGATAGGTGATACTCCCCAACAGCATGTTAAGGCTATTTGAAGGATCGTTTCTTTGTTGCTGCCGGTGACATAAATAATAAAAATATATACATAATTTCTTCCACATTTATCTCGATAGTCCTTTCGGCACCATGCCATGAGATGAAATCTCAATGTTGGGTCTCTCACAGTGCAAGGAAAGGTGGTGCAATGAAGACCTTCAGAGCCTTTAGGGGTGGTTACGAATTTTGTTGAGAGGACAAGGGAGAGTTAGGGCTTAAATAGTTTGGGCACGTGTTGACGAGAGACAAAGAAGGCTTGCGAGGGGGGGGGGGAGACGCCACGGGTGCAGGGCAGGAGGAGGAGAGGGAGAGATGGGAGGATGCGGTGGAGCGAGATGAGAGGACGGCGGTGGACGTGACGAGAGATGATCCACAGGATAGAAGCAAATGGACGGAGGAAATCTGAGCAATCCGACCCCACACACGTGGGGGACTTGTGTCTTAGAAGAATGAAGCAGAGCAGTGCGACCCTTTGATGGAAGCGGATATCACAGACCTACCTGTGAGATCCTTTTAAGTGATTTCCGCTCCTCACAAGTAGGGAGCAGCACTCTCCAACACGCTCCGCCACTGAGAGTCCTGTATCGTCACGTGATGGTGAAACCAATATTTTTCATTATGAAAGCAGCACTTTGGCCACATTAAGTGTGAAACGAAACGAATCGCGATGGGTATTTGTGCAGTCCTTGGGTGTCCAGACTGTGACCATCACCGCGCTACACTCGGGAGCCCGGTTTGATCGCAGCCTGTGTTCGATCCGAGAGTATCAGCCGTGTGCCCCCCCCATTACTCCAGGTAATTGACAGTTAACTGCACACGTGAATGTTTCTACGCGCAACTTTTTCGCGGTCGCCAGGGCGGCCCTCGACAAGCTCCGAGAGGCCGATGACGCCTTCCGGCGGCAGCTGGAGAGCGCCCACGCCGCACTCCAGGCCGAGCTGGCGCGTGTGTCCACAGACGGACAGCGCCAGGTGGAGGCCGCCAATCTCTCGGTACGACGGCCCCCCCCCTCCCCCCCCGTTCAGCCGCCGAGACCGCGTGTGTGTGTGTATATGTAAGTATGTTGAACTTCTTTCGGCACCGTACGTAGCCAGTTGCCGGGGAAGGACAACAAACTAAACGCAAAAGAAAAAACGAGGCGGGCGATGCGCGCAGGAGGAGATGGCCGCCCTTTGATGGCCGCCCTTTGCTCCGTGAGACGGCCGGCGGCGGGAAGTCCACGGAGGAGGAGGAGACACGTGGCTGCCTCCCGGCCGCCTTTTTAAATCCTTTATATTAAGTTCACTTGCTTGCTTGCTTGCGCGCTTACGACCGTGCAAATATTTCGGTCGTTTTTTAACCCACTTCCCGTGATCCAATCGAGCTGACATTTTGTACACAGACTCGTTGTGCGTGACAATTAATTTTCGTGAAATTTTTTTTCCAAAATTTTACACTTTTTAGGAAAAAAAATATTTGATATTTAATTTAAAATACCAATGTGATAAAAATGAAACTCTTACTCAAGAAAAACAGAAATGAATAATAAAATAAAACCGATGCCACGCATATAAAGGATTTATAGTAAAAAACTTTGTTATTACGGGTTATTTTTTTTATCTCCGAGTGGAACTTTGGGCCAGCACGTGAATCGAGAACCACAATCCACCAATCCCGACCTCCACCCCGATGCATTGCGCAGGCATCCGACGCAAGATGAATAATGCGCGTGTGCGGAACGCCTTTGACTCGCCGCCTCCTACGTTGGGGACAGCCGCGGCGATGCAAGCCAACAGCTGCCACCGCCGTCACACCTCCGTGCCGTCTCCGCGTGTTGGGAATTGTGTTGGGAATTTTTTTTTTTTACGCTTTCCAACTTCGGTTGAATGCGTTGATGCATGAGACCTGTCCGTCCGTCTGTCTGTAGCGGTGGGTCACGATAACCAGTGTTCGTTACCATTAGGAAACTTTGCCTGTGTAAAACTGGCCGAATGGATCAAGAGGTTGCCCAAAACTTGCCGATTAAAAAACACTAGCTCGAAAAGAACTCTCCTTTTCTGCAAAGGCAATGATTTCACGCGCCAGGCCACCCCTTGACCTCGATACTTGTGACCTCCAAATTCGCCCAACTCGAAAATGAACTGTGAATTGCTCAATTGGGACTGTACATCGCAATCGTCGCCCCCTCCTGGCAGACGAATGCCCGATTGCAGGCCAGGGGTCACCCTGTTGCTCACAGAGAGAGAGCTGCCACTGGGTGAAGCGCCCTTTCAAATGTTGAAGATGAAATGTGATGTAAATTGCTCTGAGATACCCTGGTGTACAGGATCCCTATATCAAAAACAAACCGTCATCAATCCTGTTTCATCTCATGACGTCACACGTCATGTGACTTTATTTCGTTGTGCGGCACGGAACGTCACGGTAATATCGCTGAACGCTTCCGTGGGCAAATGCGTGTTGGTGATCGTTGCAGAATTTCATCCTATGTAGATTTATATAATGCCTCCCTCCAAGGCGCTTTGCAGCAATTATACAATTGTACTTTAGATGACGGTGGTTGAGATAACGAGTTAGATTTCGATTTAAAGCTTTCGTGACTGCAGGGATTCAAATTATTGGTTCTTTCGGTGAAGTCACGTAGAAGAGAAATAGTAAAATAATAATTTTTCTTATTATTAAGTCACGTAGAAGGGAAATAAACATTTTTTTTTATTTCCCTTCTACGTGACTTTACCGAAAGAACCAGGAATATAACGAGTTAGGTTAATAAAAGTGGCGCTGTACAGTTATGGTAGTGGTGGCGTAATTACGGTACGCATGATTTGTCATCCCTGTGTTTTTTGGGGGTGTGTGTTTCCCCCCCCCCCCCCCTCTCTCTCACAGGTCCAGAGGGTGGAGGAGGAGATGCGCGCTTTGCTACGCGAGACAGCCAGCGGCAAGAAGTCCACCGAGGAGAAGATACGGCGTCTCACGGCCGCCTTGACGGAACTGCAGCAAGAGCTGTGACTGCTGTCGCAAGCGCACGCACGCTCACGCGTGCCGCCAAATCCCATCACCCCCCGAGACTTGGAGCTTGGTCAGAGCGATAGGACCATCGTGAATCACACCTCAGGCTTGTCATCGGGTCCAACACCGATTGGCATTCTGGCCACAATGTTTACCATTGGGACTCTGAATGGAGGGGGATGATGTGGAAAAATTGTCTTTCACTGGGTGCGTAAACTATTCAGTGTCTCTTACTTATTCGGCGATTTGTCGAGATTCTGGATCGCTCTTCGATTCAAGAAACAAAGAAAGAAAAACATGGTCCGTCTCTGTTGTTTCTCCATTTTGTCTTGTTTGAGCAGCCGTATTTTGCTCCGTTAGCTCAAATGTGACATTTGCATATCTTTTACATGAATTGTCATCAATCAGTTCTTACATGCGCGATTCACTTGCTGTGTTGTGAGCGGAAGGAATATTTTTAAAAGATTTCCTCATTGAAATGCCTCGTCATTAGAGTTTGATAACGTTGCAGATGTTGTGTGTGTGTAGATGTGTGGGGAAGTGTAATGGTTTGTGTGCTGGCACTACGTTTATTGGTGACTTTGATTCGTGGCCAAACTCATCGGTGACATCCAAAACGTCTTCTAGGTCAACTTAACATGAAATGGGGACATCTAAAGTGTGCTTAGGTAAACATCAGCTCTGGGCAAACGTAGGTGGCCGGGTTTGTTTCTGGCAACACCATCCCCTTGTGGACACTTAACAGCGCTTAATCCAATGGCCCGTGATGTCCAAATGGGGGCAGCCCTCTTTGTCACGTCGTGGTTATCGCGTCGCGTTGTGTGTAGAGTTCAAGTCTCGGCCATGGTGATCAAAATGAGTGGCAAATGGTTGTTTGAATCTGGTTTGTCCTTCGTTAGTTCGAATTTGGCCTTAAATTTAATACGGAACGAGGCTTGTGCTGGCGTCAGTACCGAGGAAAAATGTGAATGGGCATGATTTTTTTGCGGTCCACCCAGTCTCTCAAAGGCTTAACATTACACTCACGAACGGAATTTCCCTCCCACGCTCTCTAGTACCTAACGGGGGATTTCTGTGTCTGTGTACACATGAATACATACACACTCTGGGGAGCGGAAAAGCAAAGCGGTTGGCTCGCTGCGTTAAGAACCCGTTTGACGAATCAAAGTCACCAAACAACGTAGTGCCAGCGCACAAACCATTACGATTCCCCACACATCTACACACACACACATCTGCACACACACACATCTACACACACACACATCTACACACACACACATCTACACACACACACACACATCTACACACACACACATCTACACACACATCTGCACACACACACATCTGCACACACACATCTACACACACACATCTGCACACACACATCTGCAACACCAATGACGATTATCTGAACCAGTACTGGGCCTCCACTCGGTCGATTCGGTTTCAAGCACAAACATCGCCCACTGGGGATACAAAGGCGGTCGGGAGTGATGTCCCCCCCTTCACCCTCGTGTGCCATGCTGGCCTTCATAGGTGCTCGCTAACAGAACTTCCCCCAAAATTATGCTAGAGTTTATGCGTGGGATATTTGTATACACATATGCGTGTGTTTTTTTGACTGCATTAAATTATTTTTTGAGTTTTTACACTGTGATCTGTACAATTATTAGGAGTCGTTGCTCAAGTTATTCAGGACGGGGGGCGGAGGGAGACTTTTTCTCCTGCTCGGCATTTTTTTTCTTTCAAAGTGATGGAACTGTTAATCTTCCAACCGCTGACTGTAACAATTTTATTGTCGAACAAGCGACCCGCGGCCGACCGCCAGTGCCGCCCGCCAACGCACCCACCAAAAAAACCAAAAAGTTTAATTATAAGACCCGTGGGTTTTTTGCTTTTATTATTTTCTATTTTTTATTTAATTTTACTATTTGTATCATGTTTTTTTGCTTTTTATTTTCAATGTATTTTTTTTTCTATCTACGTGACTTTACCCAAAGAACCAAGAATATGTATAAGACACATTTATACGTTGTTGCCAGCTCGCGTTAATCCATCCGGCTGAGCAGAGCCGTACAGACACATCGGTGCGCTTCGGCACCCAGCTGAAAGTAACGCCCCCCCCCCCCACCCTCTAAACACGATGAATAAAATCCGACAGCGTTTAAAATTTTACAACGCGGAGAAGGGTGAGAAAAGCTATGGGAGGAGCAGCACGGTTGAGCTTTCGAGCCGTAGGAAGGATGCGCAGCGTTTGCTGTGGTTTTTTTTTTATCCATTTACTTGTTTCGGATAATATCAGGCTTTCATTTTTTTTACACTCCCTTTGATCCCAACCTTTGATCCCAACGGGGGATCGTAACAGATGAGATTCGGGTTAGCTTCACCATCGGTCAAATGGAGCACGTGGTGATGATGAAACACCGATTGAAAGTGTGGAGGGAGTGCCCCAGATAATCGCGGTGATGATTTTGTTTTTTTCGGGCCAGACTGCAAAATTGAGATCCATTTCATTGCTGCACGGTTCAGTTGGTCTTATTTCATTGCACAAAACAAACACAAACGTGCACTTCTGTTTTCATCAATTTGCGGTTGAACCTTGTTTTGTAGACACTTTCATACAAAATTGCTCCGGCGCGAGAGGAATTTGGATTTCTGCGGAAGTACACAGCACGACCCGCTATTGTTCCTCGTCAGCATGACTTCATGGTCAGCACAACATTCTAACAATGCTACAGAAAATGTTGTTAATCAAAGCGCCGATGATTAGGCACTACAAAGGACGTAGTCCTTTTCTAAGAGTGCTATTCAAAGACTTGGACATCAATTTTATTTTACATCCCTTTGTGCTCTTTTACACTTTTATCAATATATTCCGTCGATCACGTTTTATATGGACAGCTTTTATTTTTTTTAAGAGTATTTGATGCCGCCAAGACAGAGAGGGAAATCAATTGTGGAATGTTGAATGTGGTGATTTTCGAAAGAAGTTTTCTTAAAAGGGTTTCTTACCGAGCGGGGCCTGCGCCCATCGTAGCCCACAATGCCCAGCACGCTCCCCCTTTAATCTCGGAGAGTGTCCGACGGACGTCTCCGCTCCCCCGCTTGTTAACACGACGTTGACCTGGCACCGCAACCTCCCGGCAGCAGAGGTCGCAAACGGGTTTTGATCCCGTACCCGGCCGTGTACGGGTTGGGTACGGGTATCGGGTACCTGATTGCGACCTCAGGGATGAAGCCATGTTGCAGGCGTGGGTGGGTTGATTCTAGGAACTTGAATTGTGAGAAGAGACAAGAGGTTAGGAAATGAGTGACAAACAGTTACTCACCACTGACTCACGGCCTACCCGTACCCGGCCGCACCAGGGTCGCAAACGGGTACCCGAACCCGGCCGGGTATCGGGTAGGGTACGGGTTTTGGGTACCCGGTTGCGACCTCTGCTCGGCAGATTGTCTGCAAGCGCGCGCGATGGCGTGCGGAGGTAACATTGTACCTGCGTGGATTTGAAGAAGTAACCTCAACACCGGGTGCCACGCTATGTCTTCATCTGATAAGCAGGCGAGGGTCAACATCCGACTGCAATGTTGCTCGCCGCTCTTCCGGCACTGGGAAGACATTCTCTCCCCCCCCACGCCAACCCACCCCGTGATCAGTCCGCACCGTGACAACCCCACGTGGTTGTGGTGGCGAGATGTTTACTACCTCGCCTGGTGTGCAGGAGGTCGTGGGTTCAACCCCGACCCTGACGCCTGCTGTGTATTTGGGGTTTGCATGTTCTCTCTTCCACATCTAGAAACACGCGTTTAGAGTATTTGGCTGCTATAAACGTCCACACGAAGTAAAGCCACCTGGTTGAGTGATCATTTGTGATAGCCAGGTTGTGTCTGAAAAAGCTGCATATCTCAGTGGGCCTTACCTGGTAAAACATTTAAAATAGTTTTATTGTTTAAAGTTTGAACTGCTCGCTCCGTTCATCGGTGCGGTAAAAATTAAACACAACATTGCGTAACCTCTTCTCCCCTTCGCCAAGCTCACTGCTCTTCGCTTGCCTACTTTTTTTTTCCATCCAGGCAGCTGCTTTGCATTCACCAAACCCGTCGTCGCTTTTCTGTGGCTCATGCGCCTTTTCGGGAACAAATCCCCGCGAGTACAGATTGTGGGTCAGAGCTTGGAGCGACGGCAGCGGCGTGGGGGGCTTTGTTAGCGCACAGCCTTGGCCACCCACACCGCCCGATAATCTTGGCAAATAACGTTGCATTAACGTTCAACCAAACTCTTCAAATGCGGACGGCTTGTCCGCATTAACGATTGCGCACGTGTATTCCATTATATTATATTATACGAGTAGGCACGGGTGTAAATGTCTTAAACTGCAATAGATTTTTTTGGGGCTGAAGCGCAAATGCTTTTTTGGTTCAAATTGGGGTCCCCATTTCATGCGTTTCGTTTTTCTTTTATGTTTTTTTTATCCGTCCCAACCCCTCCTGGCCTCAATCAGAGTAAAAGAGCCCTTGGCAAACAATGTATTTGGCAGCAGAATGGATCCCTGCCGCGGATCGCAGGCTTCAGAGACGATGACCTCCTCACTTTCCCTCCCCACCACCACGAGTGTTTTATTTGCGCTGGCACGCGGCACCGCTGTAATTCCACTGTTTATCGTGTGCCACAATGGGGGCTCTCTCCACGCCTCGCGGCTTCATCCTCGGATCTGAAGGGGATGGGGGGAGGACTGTCCCATGCTGTGTTCGTGACCCGAACGTTCGATTGCAGCCTTTAGGGCGTACATCTCTCGTGTTTTCAACTTGTCTCCGTCCACATCGTGATTTAGCCGTGCGCCAGTCGTCCTGCAACTTGCAGCATTTGGGTTTTGATGACGACAGCAGAGCAGCTGTGGGAGGGGGGGGGCGGGTGGTGTGGTCAGGTTGCCCCCCGCTGCACTCCCTCGTCAGGTCAGGGTTGTGGTCGAGAGGACATCTCGCCCAATGCTGTTGATGACGTCACACCTCACCTTCCGCGCAATCCATCTGTAATAAAAGGACTCGAACACTTCTTTCTGTCTTCGTGTCTTTATTCAGGTTCACGTCTTTACCCACACGGCACTCTGTTATAACTCCTGTATTTGTAGCCCCCGGCTATTCACTGCTATTATAGCTTCCTCACCCCTCTGACTCTCTGCTTCATCTACTGTAACCTCCTCCCTGCAGACTTGCTGCTACCCCTATGTGCAGACCCTCTGGCTGTCACTGTATGCAGACCCGCTGCCCACTCTCTCTGTGCAGCCCCGCTGCTGACTGCAGCCTCCTCGCTGCTTCGGGTCGGTCACCGCTGGCCAACGGTGCCGATCCTCGCTCCCCCCGTGTTCGTGGCGATCTCGCCACACCCCGCTTCGCCCTTCGTGGCCTTCCTCTGTTCCTGGTTCCCCGTCACTCCCTCTGCTCTTCCGGTTCCCCTCCTTCTATACTCAACCCCTCTCCCCCCCACGTGACCTAACTCCTCCCCCCCTGACGGCACCTCAGAAGGGCCGTTTACAACCGCATTACATCACCCTCCCCCCTAAAGAAAATCCAGCCGACCTCGGCTGAATTGCAACCTGAAAAGCAATGCGGGTGTAAAGGGCCAACACGCAAAAAGACACGAAGCATTGAAGAACATTATAACAATAACACAACACAATCTAACGAAACGTGAGGGATTTCGAGCGAGTACGGGTAGCCGGGCCGTCCCGGACGGTCGGCGGCCCACCCGCCGAGCGGGAACGTGGAAGGGTTTTAGGGGCGACGGGCGCAAGTTCTTCCGTCGCCATTGGAGGCCCGCCACTGTCCCGCTCGCGTCCAGAAACATCCCGTACTCGCGTCCGCGGAGGGATAGGAAGAGCTGCAGGTCCCGTGGGTTCTGCGGCTCCGGTCGGCGTCCCACAAGCGGAAGGTCCTCCTCCCTGCGCTGTCACGGCCGGCTTGTCTGTGAAGGGTACGACAGGCGCTCTCGCAAGGTCAGCAGACACAGGCAAGGGCGAGTCGGCAGCAACAGACCCCGGCAAGGCAACTTGGGGAGATGACGCATCCGGCCGTGGGGCAATGTATGGCTTCAACCGGGACGTGTGCACGAACCAACGCCGTGCACCAACCTGAACACGCGCCGACTGTGGGTTGGGAACCTCAATGAGGCGGACCGGACCCTGCCAAGGTCGATGTAATTTAGGAGATGTACCTGGCCGCACCTGTGGGCAATGAAGCCAGGCCAGGTCCCCCTTTTTCCAGGGACACTCCCCCTTTGAACGTCGGGCACACCGCTCATTCCTGGCCTGAGCCTTGGCAGTAGCCATGCGGGCATTTTCCCTCGCCTCAGCGACACGCCGAACGTTGTCCTTAATATACTCAGGAAGAGGCTTAACAGGCCCCCTCGCACCGGTTCCCAACTGGTCATGAATCGGCGGCACGTTCTCACGGCCGTACATAAGGAAAAACGGCGAGTATCCAGTAGCCGCGTGCGGCGTCATGCGATACGCCGAAAGCACCCCAGGGATATGCAAATCCCAATCAGATTGGTTTTCCCCGACTGTATGGCACAGCATGGCGGACAGAGTCCGATTCAACCGTTCCACCATACCATCCGTTTGCGGGTGGTAGGGGGACGTCCGTATCTTTTTAGTTCCAAGAGCCGCACACACCTCCCCCAACAATTTAGACGAAAAGTTACGTCCCTGATCCGTAAGGAGCCTCTCCGGAGCCCCTTTGTCCATTACATACCCAAATAGAAAGGCGTCCGTGATAGACGCCGCTGACTGGTCAGGCAAGGGCCAGGCCATCGGCCAGCGAGAGAGGTACTCCACCCCCACCAGTAAATACTTATTCCCTTTAGCTGATGGCGGAAAGGGTCCCAAAATATCTAACGCCACCAACTCATTAACCCGAGATACTTTAATCGATTGTATCGGCGGAACATATGGATATTTAGGCGGCTTACGGCGGGCACAATCGGGACACGCGCGAACGTGACCGACGACATCCGTCGTCATGCCGTGCCAATAATAGTCTCGTTGCAGCGTCAATAGGGTTTTCTGCACCCCCAGGTGTAAAAGTGTGTCACAGTGCAAAGATCGAATCAACTCATAGCGCAATGAC